AGTATGTAAATCAACTTAGGTTATTTCACGTTAGACTTTCCAAAGCTGAAAATGGTCTTAATCTTCATCTCAGTTATATACTACTACCAAGTTCCAGCCATGAGCCCAAAGCATCTTCTACTCCCTAAATTGTAGGTTTATATTTTTAGTTGGTTTCAGGTTGTAACCATAAACTTATTACTGACTTCCAATCAATATCATCCCAATGTGTCTAAGTTAAACTCTTCTTTTTTTTTTTTTTAAGTAAACTCTAAGCCCATTTTTTTAGGTAAGCTCTATGGGCTCAAACTCATGACCCTGAGATCAAGAATCACATGCTCTTCTGACTGAGCCAGCCAGGTGCCTCCAAGTTAAACACATTTTTGAAGTTACTTCAGAAGATACAACTAATTAAGCGCCTGGGCATCTCAGTCAGTTAAGCGTCCAACTCTTGATTTCAACTGAGGTCTTGATCTCAGGGTTGTGAGGAATGGGACAGTCTACCTAGAAGTATTCAAAAGATACCCCCAATAAAGCCCAAATAGTTTCTGTGGTATACAACAAAAAGGAAAAGTTAATCACATCAACAGGAAAAAAAAATACTAAGAATAAGTATTATCAGGCAATTTGTACAAGGAGAAATATAAATAATTGACATGAAAATGAAAAAGGGAATCCTAAGAGAAGAACACAAAAAAAATGTCAATTTTTTAAAAGTGAACTTTCATTTTTCACTCATCACATTGTCACATCACAACATTTAAAGATGAATGATACCCCCTGGTGGCAAGGGAACACAAAAATGAGCCAGCACTGCAAGCATTAAGCTAAATTGGTTCAGGTTTTCTGGACAGCATTTGGCCACCGGTAACAAAAATCCCCAAAGGTACATGGTTAGGAGCCAGCCAGCCCAGGGCAGATCCCGGTTGTACTACTTGCTGGCGCCAGGACTTGAAGCAAGTTTCTATTGAGAACTGCTCTATGTCTCAGTGACTAGTCGTACAATGACTGTAACAGTTGCACTTTTCACTGCTGTGAGGCTCAACCAGTGAATATTCATGAGCACCTTGGACCAGTGCCTGGCACATAATATGGCTTTCATTATTATGTTGGTCCAGCAACCTCACTTCTAAGTATTTATCCTAAGGAAATCTTAATTAAGTGCACAAAGATGTATTTATGCATTTGTTTATCACTTCATGATTTAGCAAAGGCCAAAAGTGGAAATGGCTGGTTAAATAAATTTTTGCAATCTTTACCTTATAATACTATGGGCCCATTAAATATAATTATGTTGATATATATGTACTGATGTGAGCACATTTATATTCTGTTTTGGAGAAGGGAAATCAAGCTACAGAAGAATAAATATAGTGGAACCCTAGGAAGGAGACATATGTGTTTTTTTAATCAGAGCATGTATAGCTAGATATTAACGGTGGTTGACTCTGGATTTGGGGGTTACTCAAATTTATTTTTCTTTTTTGATTATATGTGTCTTCTAATTTTTCTACATCAATCTCATTGTTGGTATAATTTTTAAATAATTTAATATGTTACATATTATGATGGTTAATCTCAGTCAATTTGAGCTAAGGGATGCTCAAATAGCTGGTAAAACATTCTTTGTGGATGTGTCTCTCAGGATGTTTCTGAGGGCAAAGGGAGTGAAGAAGATCCATCCTCCCCAATGTGGGTGGGCATCATCCAATCCATTGGGGACCAGAATAGAACCAAAAGGCAGAAGAAGGATGAGTTAGCTCTCTCTCCTTGAGCTGAGACATTTGTCTTCTCCTGCCCTCAGACATCGGAGCTTCTGCTTTTGGGACCTTTGGACACCAGGAGCTTTCCTTGTTCTCCAGCCTGTAGATGGCAGATCCTGGGACTTCTCTGCCTCCATAACCATATCAGCTAATTCCTACCATAAATCCCCTCTTTATACCTATATCCATACCTATATCCTGCTGCTCTGTTTCTCTGGAGAACCCTGATTAATACACGTATGTTCCAAAGTTCTTAAAATTTTGCCATTCTAAAATGTATTTGAAAGTGGGAAGGGATAAGCAGCATAGAAATATAAAACTAATGTTAGTCTCCAAAGTAGATAGAAAAACATTCAGAAACATATAACTTCATAGTGAACATTCAGGTACAGAGTCATTCTCGTTGGTAATTATCACGTGTGTGTGTGTGTGTGCACCTACAAACACATGTGCACACACATCTATTTCATTTGGGTTCCCCCGAGAGCAAAGCCTGAGGCAAGGATTTGGGAACAGGTTCATTTATTTCAGAGTTGCTCCCAAGAAGCGGAAGTGAGAGTGAAAAAAAATGAAACAGCAGGGAGAAAAGCCAATAAGAGGCGCACTAATAGGGAGTAACTGCTTCAAGCAACTGGGATTCGCTCCCACTGGGGACTCTCTGAGAAACTGTGGGATAAAGCTCAGAACTGTCCCACCAATGCACAGGCAGGCTGGAGCAATTGCTCAACAACTCCCCTCCCACCTGGGTTGCGGGCTGCCATGGTAGGGTCAGCTCCCCCGCACCTCGGGGCTGTACCTGCAAATAGACTGCGCAGCCTCCCACAGCATCAGAGACAACCCTGGGGCCAAAAAGCAGAGACCCCGCAGTGCACGTGCGACGTGGGGGGACTGGCATCCAACATGTTCTCAGGGATGCAGGAGACCCGGATGTGGTGGGGGGAGAGAGACCCGGGTGTGGTGGGGGGGGAGAGAGACCCGGGTGTGGTGGGGGGGGGGAGAGAGACCCGGATGTGGTGGGGGGGGAGAGAGACCCGGATGTGGTGGGGGGGGAGAGAGACCCGGATGTGGTGGGGGGGGAGAGAGACCCGGATGTGGTGGGGGGGGGAGAGAGACCCGGATGTGGTGGGGGGGGAGAGAGACCCGGATGTGGTGGGGGGGGAGAGAGACCCGGATGTGGTGGGGGGGGAGAGACCCGGATGTGGTGGGGGGGGGGAGAGACCCGGATGTGGTGGGGGGGGGGAGAGACCCGGATGTGGTGGGGGGGGGGGAGAGACCCGGATGTGGTGGGGGGGGAGAGACCCGGATGTGGTGCCACAGTCTTTTATATCTCCCTTGCCCAAACCCAGCAAATAGGAAACCAAGACTTTGTTGGGAGAATCCTGGGAGGGGAATGAACCCACCACACTTCCCACTCACTGCCCCTTCCCCTCCTCACACACTCACCGGGATCATCGCTACACAGGTCCTCGGCTGTTCAAAGGTGTGAGAAACACAAAGGGAATTTACCCCCCAGCCGGCCAGGGCTGCACCAGCCCCAAGTCCCACATCATGCCCTTCATAAGCTGTGCTCTGGCCTCACTGAACAGCCTGGTACCACGGTCCGCCAAGCCTCCCCCCTCGCCCCACCCCCAGATACCCTTTGCCCTCTGCAGTGCCTTTCCTCCCTCTTCCCTTGGTTCCAATCCCACCAGAACTTCTGGGCCTCGCAAGGTGTCAGGACCCAGAGGTCAAAAGAAGCCTGGACGGAGGGCTGGGGAGGGCAAGAGACCCCAGGTGTGGGGGGGAGAGATGGAGCAAGATGGGGGGTGAGCTGAGTTCCTAATGGCTGAGGCTGGGTGTTGGGGACGTGCATTTATCACACTATTCCTGAAACCTGTGACCAGAGGGGACCCATTGCAGCAGCAGACTAGTAAGTACAGCGGCAACTTCTTACCTGCCCTCTTTCAGTTTGCCTTTCCATTTCCCTGACTCTCCTCCCGGAAGAGGGCTTTGAGGCTTGCCCTCCTGTCTCCCGGTTAAGCCCTGTCCTTGCTGCATCCTCGAAGTCTCAGTCATTGTCTTTGGTGCAAACAAACGGGCAGATGGACCTGGGTTCCTCTGTGTGTGAAGCTTGGAGGCCCAAGGCTGGGCCTCCTTTCAGGCAAGAAACTGCTGTTCGACTCTGAGGAATAAAGTAGGCTGACAGGGTGGGGGCACTAGAGCCCGGGCCTTTCTCCCCAACAGGGGGACTCTGCGCTCCACAGCCCCCACTGGGCTGACAGAGATGTCAGCCCTGCCAGGCAATCCGGGGGCTCCCTCTCCGCTCCCAGTGGTGGGACCTGCACCGCTCTCTGAGGGCTCTCCCTGCCGATCCTGCTTCCTCCGCCTTCAGCCCAACAAACCTCTGGCACTCCTAACTCCATCTTGGCAACTGCATCCCAGTGGACCTCACCTGACACAACAGAGGTGCACTCGCTTCACCCCACTGTGCCCCTGCTGACGCTCCAAAAATAATGAATACACACGAGCTACAACCATTGTGCTGTATTTAAATATTCACATATAATAAATTAAGCTTTTCACATGAAAAAAATACAGTGGTTGCATATATAACCTAATTTTGGAGATGATATCAAAAATTAAATTTGTGGTCCTTTGAGCACGAGGCCCCAGCTAGGTGGCTCTCCCTCCCTCCTGCCCCTGAGCAAGCACAACCAGACATCAGCTCTGAGACTCTCTCCGGATCACCCCGGACTGCACTGGGTGGCCCATGCTATGCTCCCATAGCACCCTAATCTCTGTCACTAGATTACTACCCTGTACTTCTGCCCCTGTCACCTCTGCCAGCACCCAGATTCGGCAAGGAGAGGAGGACCTGGCGCAGAGCAAGCACTCAGTAAATGACTCTGGAGAATCACTGAATGGCTGACTGAGGCATGTGTCCCCAAAAGGACACCATGCAAGGTAAAGACTCATCTACACACTGTTCCTACAGATTTACAAAATGCCAGTGAATAAAGATCGAGGGGCTCCTTCAGGCTGGAGTGAACGTGGAGGTGGAAAAGGAAACTGCTCATTATAACCCTTTCTCAAGCCATGGGACCCAGGAGCACCCAGCCAGGCACCCCTGGCACTCTGGAGCAGGACCCCTCACAGGCAGAAGAAATTATATCCACCTTCTGCTCTGCTTCTCTCCAAAGGAGAAGATCTCTTGGTTACTGGCCAAGACAAGAGGCCCAGCAGCCTCATCTGTTCGGGGAGCCCTGGGCTGGCCTCAGCCAGGCTCTGGGGCAGGATCACCAACCAGTGACCCTGGATCGGCCAGGGCTCCACGGACTGGTGCCAAACTTCTCCGGCGGCTTTGAGCGAGACAGAGGCTTCGGTTTTTCTCTCTGGCCCAGGTCCTGGGGGAGATCCTCCAAGGAAGAGATCTCCAAGTCACTCTCATCATCAGAAAGCTGCAGGGAGGGAAGGGGGAGAAGAAGATACATTCTGACAAGGGAGGATGAAAATGCAGGACAGACATGGGGGAGAAATGCAGGTTTGGAAGCAGGAGGGACACACTCCTTCTCCTGTTTTTTCCCGTTTCCCTGTCTTTGAAGACCTGATTCAGAAACCCAGGGTCAGAGTGATTTTAAATGCTCCTGAAATCCCAAAGGCCAAACCAAGGCAAGCTCTTTGAAAAGGCTTACAGCAAATCAGGTTGCTCTTGTAATTTAAACTTTGTCCAGATTTTTTATTTCTCCACACTGATGGAGCTGGAGTCAGCCGTTAGGAACTGGAGTCAAAGGCCAGAGCGTTGACTTTTCTGCATTCCTGAGCTGAATGCAGCCCGGGCTAACGAGCACCTCCCGCCCCCCCCAGACAGCTTCTCCGGGGCCTGGTAAACACCCTGACTCGAGGAGTGGCAGAGGAGCTCCAGAGCACCAGGGACTCTCAGCCTGGAAAGTGGCTGGGCTGCAGCCAACGGGAGAGCCCAGAGCCAAGGGCCCAGGCAAGCCCTGCACCACAGTCCCCACTCCAGAGCTCTGTGCCCTCCTGGCACTGAGGGCCATCTGGGCTTTGATAGGAACATCCTATACATTTTCTCCCAGAGTGCAAGGCCGAGCAGCCAGAACCACCCCAGGGCCCAGGGCAGCAGGCTCCAAGCAGTGCCTCAACCTGCTTCTGGGATACTGGCACGCTTTCCCAATATAGGAGAAGGGACAAACACTTTTTTAATCATTTGGACTCACTACTCACAAACACACACAGGCTGCATAAGAAACCGAACACATTATGTAATAAGAGTATGTTCTCGTAAGAACCCAAAAGTGCCCACTATTCCTGGTCATCCCAGGAGGCGCCTTTTCAACTGAGAAAGGTGAGACACGCATGTGAAGTAACGAGAGCTCCGAACGTTTCTGCCTAAGCAAGTAACGGGCACGCGGGAGTTGTGCCCTGGCCGGAGGCAGTGGGGAGGGGGTCCTACTGGTAATGGTCGCCGAGGCTGAGTCTCGGAGCTCTAAGTCTGATGGCAGCTAGGGCCTCAGAGAGGCAAGGCCACCAAGACATTCTTAGCGATGAGGAGTGCCCTGAATATTTAGAACAAAGGTATCTAAATATTCCCATTATATGCTGTCGCCTAGTCTGAGGTGCTGTGGGATGCCACTCCAACACCCCACCCTCAGGTGCACACAGCCTGGAGTTGGGGTCTGGGGCGGAGTGAAGGAAGGGGACGGGGCCCATGGTGGGCTGAAGCGGAGCCAGAAGAGGGTAGCTACTGCAAGCAGCCAGGCACAGAACCAGGTCCAGGCTCCGTCAGAGGCGGGAAATGGGAGCATGAGTGACCAGGAGAAAACGACCTACTGAGCAGCTGCTTGTATAATGAGCCAAAAGGCTTTTTAACATCAACGAGGATACAAACAAGAAGTGGCCATCCGTCCCCCTGTGCAGGGGCAGAAGAGACAGTGAGGTCACCCACAGTATCCCACTAGGGCCAAGGCTGACACTCACTAGACCCCACCTCAGGGCCCCAACGCCTGGAGTTGGCTCCACTGGAAATGGCGGCGCAACCTCCAAGAGTCCTACACCCTACCTGAGGCTTCCTTCCTGGCACGGCAGCCCTCTGCGGCCCAGCGCTGGGCATTAAGAACAGACTGACCCCTCCAGCAGGCTTCTTCACTGGAGTCTCTAGCTGCTTCTCAAGGTTTTTGACCAGTGACTGCACCAGTGTTCCTGGAAGGCAACCAGAGGGAAAATTCCAGAGGATGAATGCCTCATCCTTGTAGGTCATGACCAGGCTCTGGTGTGGGTAGAGGGAGTGTGGAGAAGGGTCAGGAGGAAGAAGGAAGGGCAGCCGCAAAGAAGAGGAGCAAGGACAGAGAGAAGGCCCGGGCCAGTGTGTACTGGTGAAAAGAGCCTTTGACCATCCTAAAAATATAACTTCACTTAACGACATGGCTACGGACAGAGGCTTAGGAAGCTGTTCTTCCCCCTTAATGGGAGGCAGAGGCAGAACCTCTGCTCAGTTGGTATATGAAAAGCAAGACTAACATGCAAACACGGCCTCCTTCAACATCTTCACTGAGAAGAAATATCATAAATATAAATTATCACAGAGGGACCGAGGGCCAGACAGGCTTTCTGCAAACTCCATGTAGGAAGAGGGCTAAGCAGGGACATAGACTGTCAACAGACTCCTGGTGACATGCTAAACCACGATGGATGTCCAGGCTTCAGCAACGGCCAGGAAGCAGGGAGCTAACCACCGCCTCTTAGGATTCAAATGTCTGAGGGCCTGAGCAGATGTCTGGGGTTACAACAGCCCTTGGTTCATTGATTCATTCAAGAATTGTTTGTTAAGGGGCGCCTGGGTGGCTCAGTCAGTTAAGCGTCCAACTCTTGATTTAGGCTCAGCTTGTGATCTCAGGATCATGAGATCAAGCCCTGAGTCAGGCTCCGTGCTCAGCACGGAGATTCTCTCTCCCTCTGCCCCTCCCCCTGTTCACATGGGTGCGCTCTCTCAAATAAATAAGTAAATAAATAAAATCTTAAGAAAAAAAGAATTGTTTGCTAAGGGCCACTATGTACCAGGCACCATGTTCCTCACCCCTCATTGTCTTGTCCCGATACCTCATTTTACAGCGAAGGAACCGAAACCCCTCACTCAAGCACAAGCAGGTAGCAAGTGACAGAGCCCAAACTGTATTAGAGGACCCCTGACTCCTGCTTCCAACACCTTTTCACCCTATCGCCCCACCTGGCGGCTATCAGTACCTGGTTCTGGTGGATTCTGATGGACTGGCAGGCTTAGAACGAGCGAGTGAGCTCCTCCAACCTCCAACAGTTAAGCAGTTTGATGTGACAAAACAAGGGGCAAAATAAACCTCCCTCAGATTCTTCCTTCTGATATCTCTGCGATCCCAGGAAAATATCCGATGGGAGGGAGGGTCATTCTCTCCGAGTCACAATGAGTTGCCAAATCAGAAAACCCAAAGAAAATCACAGGGTATTTCCAGAACTAGAGAAATCTGGGCTGGAGAAGGGCTGCCCCAGTGGTCCCAGATCACTCACCTGAGGAAGCCAGCCCACCTGAGCCTTTGTCAGGGGGCCGGGCACTCCCCTCTGAGCTCTCGGTGTCAGACCAGTCCCAGTCATCCTCTGGCCGGGGCCCCATCCTGGAAGGACCTTTCGGGGGCTGGAGAGATGTCCGCTGCACTGAATGTCCCTCCTCCGAGTCCTCTTCAGAACTGAACGGGGGTGTACTGTCACGGAGGGGAAGAAATGAGGCCTCTATGGACCGGAAACACTTTAAAAGCCAAACTTCCCCACCTGCAAGTATGTTTGGTTTGCCCCAAGCCGGCCCTGCTCCTTCCCTGGGCCCAGGTGACAGCCAGGAGTCATCCTGGAGCATGGCAGCCGTACCAGCAACTCTGTTAGAAGATGGGGACCGAACCCTTCCGGTGCAGCAACTAAGGCTTAAGGAAGAAACGGGGAAGGAAAGGGTAGGTTTGTCCTGGCTGGGAGCAAAGGACCCTGGTCTCTTTGTGAGGGCTTGGGAGGGACCCCACCTGAGGTTGGCTTCTGTCTGTTGACTTCTGCCCCGGGCCCTCACTTGTCCGCAGAAGCCTGCGGGAGGCCCGACGAGGGCTGCCTGAGGCTGGGAGCCACTGCCTCAGACCCAGTGGGAGTGCAGAGTCCGGGGCTCACCTCAGCCCAGGCCCTGGGGCAGCAGGGGTGCCAGAGGGTCCATGTGCTCTGGGACGTGGAGCAGGGGTGGGCACGTGAGCCAGGCCAGGGCCATGGCTGCCGCAGCTCTGAAGAGTCGTCGTGGGTGGCTCTGCCAGCTTGGATGGCAACGCCACATGCAGGGTCCTGGCCTTTGGCTGGGCCTCTTTGATGACCAGTGGGTTCTGCTGGGTTTTGACTAGAAACACAGATAGGAGTAAGTTCCAGGGCATGACCGTCTGGGCCCTCGAGCCTGAAGAAGACGTAGAGAGAGGTCCCGGCACACTGGAAATGCACAAGCCACTCTGTCACTCTACACGGTAATAGCCACAGCCAGTATAGTCCTGGCCGCCACCCCAGGTGTCACCTGCTGCTGGCCAGCCCCGGGGCTGGGACCCCCCACACTTCTACCAGAGACCAGGAGAGCCGCTGGGGTTCCAGGGTCATGTCATCGTCCCCGGAGTCCCATGGGAGTCGGCAGGTCTGAAGAGGGGCCCAGCTTGTCTGCAGCTTCACTCTCCTGGTGCAGTTTTAGGGGCCGATCACACCAAGAGCACCTACCCTCTCTACCCGCCCAGGCTGCGGCGGCGGGAGTGCCGGCAACCTTGCAGGAAGGCCCTCCTGCCACCAGAGGTCGCCACAGGACCACATGGGCCATCCTCATCCACCAGGGTCCTGAACTCTCCATGGCAGGAGTGCTAAAGGCAGGCCGGCAGACCCAGCGCCTCCCTCTTCCGATTGCATCAAGCCCCATTGCGGGGGTGGGGGGTGGGTCCAGAATCAACAATATTTTTATGGAAAGAGAAGAGAAGTGCATTGCAGGGGATCAGAGTAGGTACTGTTCCATGAAACTCTCACATGTGTGGACTGTGTTTCTTACTGTAGTTCAAGATAGAAAATGTCTGAAATACACTGCTCTCAGAGAACGTTTTTATACAGAAGAGGATCTTCTAGGAAGGGCAGACTGAAGGGAAGGGGAAGGCAGACCAACTGGCTGAGGGAAAGTAACAACAGCAGCTAGTTACTGCACACAGACAGCAAGCTAAGCCCTCTACCTACAGCACCCACCGAACCCCGAGCCCTTAGGACAGTGTCGTTCTCCCTGCTTTACAGAGGCTGCGGGAGATCCAGGGACTCAAACAGGGCCCACAATTCCATGGAAGTGCAAACCCAGGTCATCGGCCCCCCCAAATCTAGGGCTCTTGCCACTCACGGCCTTGCTTCATCCCACAGTTTTGCCCCAAAACAAAAAGAGGCACCATCGAGGCAGAGATCAGAGGTGGGCATTCACACTGCACTCATGGAACCCAGAAAACAAGCATGTGGGCGTAAAGCTGGAAAGAGAGGTCTACAAAATGCTGTGAAAACAGTGCTCATCTCACACCTCCGAGACATGCCCTGGGGAAGGCAGGGCCCCAGGACCAGAGAAGGGGAGCTAGGCAAGGGGGTGGTTCTCACTCCCGGCTTTCTGACCACAGGAACAAGGGCTGGACGGGAGGGAGCACCTGGAGGAGCAAGGTACCTTTCCTCTTTGGAAGCCTGTCCTCAGAAGATGCTTTTGTTTCTCTTCCCTGCCTCCCTGTCCCCTCTCCTCTGAGCCCACAGCCCCCCCTTCACCCCGCCCCTGTGCTTGGTCCCATCACAACTCCTAGTCCGGGCTGGCTTCCCAGCTGAGGTGGCAAGCCTTGGCACAGATGAGCCTCAGCAGATTTTAAAATTACTGTTTCCTATACCAACTAAAATCATCTCTCATACCCCCAGAGAATGTGGTCCACACTCTGGAAAATTCCTCAGCATGAAGAGTTCAGGTTGGGTCTGCCTGGACATGAGGAGATAAGAGTATCGATGTCCCTCTGGCCACATATGAGGGAAAGGAGCTGCAACATCGTCCCGCACGAACAGCTTCAGACCCCCTGAAGCCTTCCCCAGAGCCCCTAATTTCAGTAGCCCAATGGATATGAGAATCCTCCAGAAATGGGGGGCTCTCAAACCTAGGAACACAAGTTCCCTTGTTTTCTCAGTTCCTTGAGGACAGAGCCTGGAGGGTCCTCACCCACAGGCTTGAATCCTCCCCAAGAACCACTAGGCCTGTCCTTGTCACAACCCCCAGGGGCAAAGCAGGGGCTGTGACCTGGCCCAAGGAACCACGGTCCTCGCTCTGAGGATGTGTCAGCAGGCAGAACTCGCCCAGCTTCTCACGCCCTCCTGCAGCTCCTGAGCAGAGTTTTCATTTGATTCATATTTGCCTCCACCTGCAGCCCCAATGCTCTTAGGCCTTGGGCCTTGTCCCAGCACTGACATGCCCCACTTCAGAGCCAGAAACAGAGTGGGCTACTCTCTTTTGGAGCAAAGTCCAATTTGTGGTCAAAGCAAGTAAAGCAGTGCAGAGCTAAGCTTCTGAGTGGGGCAGCAGACTCAAGGCTGATCACAGACCCTAACTCTGGCTCTCCTCCAACTTCCCTGGGTGACTCTGGGGCCCACGCCTAGATTCTGGTTCCCCCAACAGAGGACTTTTGGACGCAGTCATCTGTGAGGATGCTATCAACTCACCCTTGAAAGTAATGCCCTGCTGGGGGCAAGCAGTACACCCTCCTCGTGTGCAAACCAGCTGGATCCTCCCAGTCACGGCCCCCAAGCAAGCCCTCTCACCAGCTCACCTGGAGCCTTGGTGTCTGGCTGGGACGCCGGGGCCCTGTTTCTCTGTCTCTCCTTCACTCTGCTGGTGGCTTCCTTGACAAGCTTTTCCCTTAGACTCAGAAATTCAGAAAACCTCCGTGCCTTCTGCTCCCGCTGGGCTCTCAGGAGGGACTCAAGGTGTCTGAGGGTTTGAAAGGGGATTCCCTTTGCATCCTAAAAAAAAAAAAAAACAGAAGTTCCTCTTTGGAGACAGAAGCCCCCCTTCTCCTTCCCCTAAGCCTGCCGTACCTGCTGCTGGCCTGGGAGTCACTGTGACCAGCGCCGGGTGCTCTCTGGGAGAGGATGCGGTGAGCGTCAGAGCAGGGTGGGCAGCGGCTGCACACGCTGCAGAAAGTGTGGCGGTTTAGGGTCTGGGAGCCTCGTCAAAACACACAAAGGGGCTGCGCATGACTCCATTGACACCCCAGCTTACAGGGCTCAGAGGGGACTGCCTTTCCACCACTGCCTGCATCTGAGGATGGAGACCACGGCTTCCTCCTTTTTGTACCTTGTGCACTATCATTATGCTACACACGTTGCTAACAACGTTTGAAAAATCAACTGCAAGAAACAAAAGCTAGGTAACCTGCCGAGGACCTACTAGAAGTTGCCTGGGCTTTTGGTATCCACCCAGAGCCCGTGAGGATTCATTCAAGGTTAGAAAGAAATGTTTTAATCAAGTCTGATCACAGGGCCATAGTTAGATGGAACAGTAGTTGAAAATGGCCAAAGATTAGCGTGCCTTTAATGAAAAAACGCACGCTCTGGTTGAACACGGGCATGGGGGAACAACGGCATTCAACTACTATTTGTACCAGACGTAGCTTTCAGTGCCTTCTTCACCCACAGCCACCCGCTGATTGGCGTGGCCACGTGGGCCACTGATGATGGACATTCACCCAGGGGACCCTTCCAGAGGGCAGACTGAGCCAATTAAATTCCCTGTCACAATTGGACACAGAAGGGGCGCCTGGGTGGCTCAGTCGGTTAAGCGTCTGCCTTCAGCTCAGGTCATGATCCCAGGGTCCTGGGATCGAGCCCCACGTCAGGCTCCCTGCTCTGTGGGAAGCGTGCTTCTCCCTCTCCCTCTGCCCTTTCCTCCTGCTTGTGTTCCTGCTCTCACCATCTCTCAAATAAATAAATAAAATTTTTTTAAAAAGAAAGAAAGAAATGGACACAGAAGAAAGCAGCCAATGAATGGAGAGCATAGCGAGGTCAGGACATAGGGTGACACCCCAAGAAACCATTAGAAATGGAGAAGAGAGACCACACTGCTGCCATGGGGTGAGGAGAAGCCGTGTGGGCTTATGTTCCCGGATATGAAAGACACCCCAACTGGAACAAGTAAGATGAATAAGCCTACACCGTTAAGAGCCATCAAGCATTTGTCAGGTGAAGAACGCTGTGCACCTAAATGGTAGGCCGCAGCCCTTGCAAGAGTGGCCCTGGCACTTACTCTCTTTATCCCCATGCTTTCCAGTTTCTCTTCCAGGGTGTCCTCCAGGATTGGCCTGAACTGCTTCAGCAGGGTGGGGTTTCGCCTCAGAGCAGCCAGCACCTTCTGCTGTCCATCTCTGGAGTCCTCCAGATCTGCAGCACACGACAATCCACCAAGGTCATCCTGGGCGCCCAAAACCTCCATTCCCTAAGCCCCACTGCACCTGCCTGGCCCTCACTGGCCCGTGACCCTGGTCTCTGGCCGGCGAGCCCAGGGCCATGGACCCCACCTGAGAGTCCATCCCCGATGCTGAGGTGTTTCTGCTGCTGGCTACCACTGCTTCAGACCACTGACCTGCCTGCAGGATCCTCCTCCCCTGCCAGTCCGGGGCCTCCAAGATCTGGGCTCAGTGCTGCCCAGGTTAGCTCAGGACTTTCGGGCTTTTGACTTGCTCTTGAGTCCAGGCAGTAGCCTGTTCCCGAGCTCCATTCGTCCCCCCACCCAGTTTTACTGCGATGTAGTTGACATACAGCAGCGTATAAGTTTAATGTACAGCGTAACGGCTTGGCTTTATTGTGAGATTATTATCACAGTGAGTTGAGTTAACGTCCCCCCTTTCATATCGATACAAAAGAAAAAATGAAGCCATTTTTCCTTGTGATGGAAACTCTTGGGATCTCCTCTCTTCACAGCTTTGCTGTGCACCTTCCAGCAGGGTTAGGACTGGTCGTCATGTCCATGACATCCCCAGCACTCATTTCTCCTCTCACTGGAAGCTTGTACCTTTCGACCTCCTTCCTCCTGTCCCCTACCCCTACCACTCTCCTCTGGTAACCACAAATTATGATCCTTTTTTCTATGAGTTTGGTTTTTGGTTTGTTTAGATTCTACATATAAGGGAGATGATACAATATTTGTCTTTCTCTGTCGGACTTATTTCATTTCACATAATGCCCTCAAGGCCCATCCATGTTGTCACAAATGGCAGGCTTTCCCTCTTTTTATGGCTGAATAATATATCTACCTCAACTTCATTATCCATTCATCCATCAATGAACAATTAGGCTGTTTCCATATGTCGGCTATTGTAAACAGCAGATTCCAGGCCCTGCCTGCTGCCGGCCCCATGTAATCCTGGCCCCACCTGATGCCCTCACCTACTGCCATACCACGTTCTGCTCTCATCCAAGGGCTCCAATGCTAGTGGGATAGACACTATAAACTTCCCTCAAGTTTACTGTCTATAGAGATCAGGGATTCACCCTTCAACGTAGTATACATCAGAACCACATGAGTTAAAAACCGCACATTCCCTGGCCCCACCCTCCAGAGAGTCTGATTCCATAGGCCTGGGGAAGGGCCCTGGAATCTGTACTTTAACTTACCTAAATGATTATGGTGGAGGTGAGCCACAGACCATACCAAGAAATACGGACCCAGAGGAGAACAAAATAAGCAATCACAATAAACTGTGGTCATTGCTGCAAAGGGGCCTTCCAAGGTGAGTCAAGGACCTCTTCCCAGAAGTGCTTTTCAGGTCCAGTGTGGGGTGGAGGGTAGGAGGGAGGATGGGCACACTGCCCTCAGAGTTGGACCAGCCCTTTGATTCACTCAATAGACATTTTCTGACAAGTAATATGGAGAATGAACATGCCAGTACTGAGGTGCTGGGGACACAGAAGAAGACCCTCAAGGAGCTCACATTCAGGAGTGGCCATGTGAACTGTGGCAGCATATTTGAATCTCCTGGGCCCCATCCCAAACTAATTACATCAGAATCTCTGAGAGTGGGCCCCAGGCCTCACTATTTATTTTTAAAACTCCCCAGATCTTCTAACAAACACCCAAGCCTGAGAACCAATTGTTCGAGAGCAATGTGTGAGCCTCTAAGTGTGAGCCTCAGCATCAGCACCATCTGGTAACTGACTAGAAATGCAGATTTTCAGATCCCACTCCAACCCTACTGAGTCAAACATTATGGATGTGGAGCCCAGCAATCTGTGTTTTAACAAGCCGCCCCCCACCAGGTTGATTCTCCTCCATCACGTCTACACTGGGGCATGAGCCCCAACCTTGGCCGCACATTGGAATCACCAGGAGCTTTAAATACTACTGATGCCTGGAACCCTCGCCTATACGTTCTGATTTAGGCCGTAGGGGGCTGGTGTGGTCCTTGGAGTGTTACAAGCGACCTGGGTGATTCTTAATGTGCAGTCACCTGCAGACAGTCAATGGTCTGACAATGGGTCTCCAACTTGAGCAAGAATCGGGATGCCCTGGACAATGTGTGAAAACATGGGCTGCTGGACCCCGCCCCAAAATTTCTGAGTCTGTTTACATGGGATACGGCTGAGAATTCGAAAACTTTCCTTTCTAACAAGTTCCCAAGTGATACTGCTCGTGCTGATCTGGGACCAGAAGAGGCAGGCAAGCACATGAAGAGGGCGAGCACCGTGTGACCAGTGTGGGAGACCTCCACTGGGTGTGACAAGATGGGACGGGTAGGGGTCAGCCGAAGCACCCTCCTCAGCCTCCTCCTCTCTAGGACTCAGCAGCCCCTGTTGGAGAATTCGGTTCATCCCCTCTATGGACCTCAACAGGTCCAGTAACGGGTTGTGTTACTCAGCAGATACCTTCCCCTAAAAAAGGTACATGCAACTCTTATTTTTACTGCTAAATTCCAAGATTAAATGCCCAGGGTGGGGGTGGGAGAGTAGTAGAGGACTAATTAAATAAATTTTAGTTCATCCATCCAACAGAATACTGTATATCCCTGAAAAAATAATGAAACAATTCTATGTAAAGGGATATAAAATGATTTCCCAAATAAGTTGTTAAGAAAATAAATAACCACATACAGAGTAGTATGTATAGTATGATCCCATTTGGGGAAAGGGGGGGGAATGCATAAACACATGTGCTTATATCTGCACCAAATATCTTTGGAAAGATATATGAGAAACCATAGCAGTGCAATCTCTGGGTGGAAACTGGATAGCCCAGCGGGAGGGAGACCTACTTCTCACTGTACACACACCCTCTTGCTTGCTTGCTCACTTGTTTGCTTGCTTTTTTGCTTTTTTTCCAAGAGCATAGATTACTATCTCAGAAGTAAAGAAAAAATGTTACATTAAAAAACAAAATACCATACCCCATCGTGAACTCTTTGGTGACCCTTTCATGGGTGCATCTGTTGGGTCACTTTGGAATTGTCATATCGTAACCTGGCTCCAGAGGGCAGGCCTTGGTCAGCGGATCAGCTGTGAGCACCCCCTGATCTTTCCTGGGAGCTCCTTCTCCCCAGCTCCCCAAGGAGCTCCCCGCAGTTAGGGAACACTGCTATTTTTTTTTTCACTTCTCCTTTGCATCCCCTTGAATTTATCTGGTTGAGCTCTCTCTGCAGATCAGACTCACCACTGAATGGACCGAATAAAAACAGGTGCCCAGTGCTGTGAAGAGGGAGCCGAGGCAGACCCCCGAGCGGCAGTCCGGGCCTAAGTGCTCTGTGCCGCACGCTCGCCATGCAGGATAAAACCGCGCAGGCCGCTTCAAGCCCGCACAGGGAGTCCTCACCCGCCGCTCTGGACGTACCAGGGGAGAGGCGGTGGGACAGGCACAGGGTCAGGCTATGCATCAGACGCCACTCCAAATCCTGCCTCTGCCCGCCTGCTGGTTCTGTGACTCCGGGCAAGTCACTGACCCTCTCTGGGTTTCCCCACCAGTGACCCATCAGATCACATGTTAGTGCCTGCATGCAACCCCCCCCCCCGCCCCCCCGCCGGAACACAAAAGGTGCTTGAGAAATATTCGTTTCGTGTCCCTGCTTCCCTTCCTCCCAGCTTCCGGTGGCCAGACAGTGAGTATTTTCTCACCAACAAGCTAAACGATGAGGAGGACAAATCTGTGTCACCGGGGAAAGAGTCAGGCCTCACCTTCCTCGGAAGAGTCCTCTTCTATGTCCACAGCCTTTGGGCCCTTGCAGGTCCCTGAGGAGAGCCCAACAGTTAGCGGCCCCAATGCCCTGGACCCCATCCCTGACTTGGAGGAAAGCACTGGACACCACGTGAGTGCCAGCCAGAAAGAGCAAGCCTTCCAGTCGTTTCTGCACCAGGAGAGGCAGGATGGAGCCGTGGTCACAAGTGCAGACAGCGGGAGCCAGAAAGACCGGAGTTCACGGTCCAGCTTGCCCATCGCTGGCCGCACACAACACGGGGTGGGGGGGTCTCGGAACCCCGCCAAGCCCCGGTCTCCTCGTCTAAAAAATGAGGATGGTAATGCCCGGCTCACATTAAATAGTGGGGACGATGTAATGAGACAATGAAACTAAAGTGCTTGGCGAAGCGCATGGCACACATCCCAGCCCCAGCCCTCGGGACATTCGGGGCCCCAGGGATGGGGCCTCTCTGACCTGCTTGCAATGCTGGGAAAGAAACGTCTGGCCCCAAGGCAGGGGATGGAGAGAGACGTGGGGGTTTGCAAGAAAAGGCAGAAGGGTGGCTAAAGAGATAGGACAGAGGAAGTGGGATGGAGTCGGAAGGGCCAGGTTTCCTAAGGGGCTGGCCAAGGTCCTCCAGACAGGGGCAGTCCCCTGTGGGTGACCGTCTCCCTTTAGATGCCGGCACGTGCAGCCATTAGACACTCACAGACACAAACACCACCCAGCAGAACAGCAAGGTACCCCAGAGGAAGATGGCACATACTCTCAAACAGGCCACATTCACATAGATTTGGGGTCAACTTGCTACACACTGGGAGCAAGATATAAGTTGATGGCTCGAACCACAGGCATGAGGAATTAGAGAGAAGCTTTTCATGAACCCCGCTCCATCAATCACTGCCCACAGGATCCTCACCCTTCCCCGGGTCTCCACCACCCCACAGAGAGGAGCAGGCCAGGCAAGAATCCATCCTGTCTGCCCCAGAAGCAGGTATCTTCTTGCCCTCCCTCACCCAGCCAGCGAGCCTGACACCCCATGACCCATGAGCTGCTCTCACCGCTGCCCCCTCATTCCATAAATTGACTGGTGGGGAACAGGAGAGAGAAGAGGCCAAGACTGTTAGAAAATACCCCGTGAGAACTTACCCTCCTCCTTCCTGAGAGACATGGTCTGGATCTACAAAAATGTGGAACAGAGCAGGTCACAGGCAGCAGGGAACTCTGCTCTGCGCAGTGGGTCTGTCCAGCACCACAGAGAAGGGACAGCCAGTGTTTCCGTGCCCCCCGCCCGGGGAACTAGAAGGAGCTCAGAGTATGCTGCCCCAACCCTCCAGCGCATCTCCTGCCGTCCCTACATGAGGGGGGATGGCACCGAGCCTGAACGGCAGCAGCCGGGATGGCGCCGTGCTCCATTTTCCCACCGTGGGGAGGCAAGAATGCCCCCTCTTCAGAGAGGGACTGTGACTTGAAGGGCAGGAGCCCACGCAAGTGCAGTGAGACAGGAACACAGCAATACTACTGGTACACTTGGTGGACAACCAGGGTGAGGCAGGCTCCCTCCCACCATATGGGCATCTGAGCTGAGGGCCCCCTGGGCAGAAGGAGGCATGAGCCGGCCAGTCACTAAACTGCTCAGCCCCCTTTTCCAGAAGGTGCCTCTTCATCCTCCTTCCACACATTTGCACACGGGACAGCCACCTGTTACAATCTGACCCCGCGCCACAGCCGTAGCCGACTGTCTAGGTTGGGGAGAACTCTGAACTGGAAACATGTGAAGTCAAGAGCCGGGCAGCCAACGGGTTTTGGTTTTTCTGTTATTTGTTTGCTTGTTTGTTTTGTCACATGGGACAGATATGACGTGAAAGCTGATCTTCAGAATAAAAGGAAAAAAATTGAAGCAGATCTAGAGAAAAGAACAGAGACACACAACAAAGCAAAACTCCTGACCACATTCATGTCTCTGGTTCCAGTTAATCCCAGACTCAGCTGCTCTCCTGCCTTGAACTCTCTGAGACGTCCTGTCTACCCTTATGACAAATTCCCTCTTCTGCTTGAGCTTGGGTTGTTTTCTATTATCGACTGATGAATGACACATACAATGTCGACTCCCAACTACTTCCTCCTTTGCCCGCCTCTATTCTAGAGACTGTAAAACTATTTGCTTTCTAACCTTCCTTGCAACTATGGTTGCCCATGTCATACAGCTTTGACCAATAAAATATAAGCAAAAGTCTTAGGAAGGGGCCTTTTCATCAACTTCTTCTATTGCATATGGTTGTGATGGTTGGGATGGTATGACAGCCATCTTGCAATTATGAGAGTCAAGCATGAGAACAAAAGTCAACCCACTGAAGATGGCAAAAAAGAAAAACTTAGCTTGGATTTCCAATGGCATAATTTTGCTGCTAAACCAAGGCCATCAACTGTCACCTCTTCTGATGTTACAATACAAATAAACCCCTATTAACCTATTCTAAATCCATGTATAGCCAATGGGTTCCTTAGTGAAATATTTGCCAACAAGAGTTCTGGGTAACAGAAGAACGAAATCTCCAGACTGGACCTGAGGTGGCCAGAGCAGTGAAGAGCTAAGTGGGGGGATGCACAGTAAAAAGAAAAGCAGCAGGGGAGAGGGTCAGATATACTACCTGAGTGAAGGATGGCTGGGAGAACAGAAAAGCACAAATAGCCGGGGCGCAGGAACAAGGAGACTGAACTAGATCGTGACAGGAGGCGCTCTGCTTGGGAAATCTGTGCAGAGGGTGGTTTCAGAACCATGACAAGGCCCTGGGGCCACAGAGGGACCCCTCCTCTGATGGCAGAGACACCTCTCCCCTGACATGCAGCTCAGAAGGGGGAGTTGAGCCTGGACTAGGTAGAGAGTTATCAACAGTAGGTGAAGTGGTCAGTTCTAGGAGAGAGGTGCTTCGTGAGTAGGTGACTTTTCATCATACTAGTTTGTCTGACAACCTCATCAGAGGCAGTTAATTTAGGAAAAGTGTATTGGCCAGGAAATTATGTCTGAGAACGCACTGAAAGAGCACAAGCTTTGCATTGCACTGCCTGGCCAGGGCTGAATCCTCCCCCCACCCCGGCCCTTACAGGGTGTGCTCTGTGGACTCCTCCAGCCTGTTCCATCATCTGTCACATGAAGATGGGGGGAAGACAATGTCTGCCTTGAAGGGCAGTAGTGATGTTTAAATGAAGCAATAAGACAAGTATCAACCAGGTGCCGGCCCTTAGACAGTGTCTGGTGTTGGTGTGAACCTAGTAACACTGCCCCTCAGGACAACAGGGGCATCTTCAGCCTGGAAAGAGACAGGCTGCATCCTCATCATCCTTTTCTCTCTTTAGAGAGTCTCACTAATGAGACCACTGCCAGTGAGTCCCAGAGAATCAAAGGAGATCCTCACAGAGAAGAGGTCCAGGGGCCCCGAGGTCCGGCTGGGAAGAGGGACAGACCTACCATCTCCTCCTGGGAGGCGATGAGCCTGGCTTGTTCCTGGAGCTGGGCGTGGAGAGCACTGATCTGGCGCTGGGACTGGGCAGCTGCTTTCCTCTGATCCTGAGACAGGGAGGCCTGGAGCCTCTCGTTCTGCTCCTGCAGCTGGTGGGCACAGGAGACTCGGTCAGTCAAATGTCACAGGGACCCCTGAGTGCCCAGTAGCTGCAGGGCCTGCACCTGTAGGCAAACCGCTGACCGCGGTTTTACCTGAAGTGGGGTAGCGGGTTTCCAGACCTGGGCAGGTGGCTTTCTAACAAGATGGACTACTTTCCAATTTGGGGACATTTTCAAGCTGTGCTTGAGGGGAAGCAAGAATTGGATGCAGGCCCCTAAGATCAGGGCAAAAAGGCTCTCTGTCCAGCGTGACCACCCACTGAAGGACAGTCAGATAACCTGAGGCCATTCAAGAGTCATCAAACGGTGTTTTTAGGTAAAAACAAAAGGTGAAGAAAATATGGTCCCATGCTGTTGTAAGAGTAGAAAGAAAATGAGACTGTTTTCTATTTGCATAAAGAAACTCTAGAAAAATACACAAGAGAGCAGTACAAGTTGTCAGCCACGGGGTGGGTGTTGGGGGCGGGTGGATGGAGATGGGGGGAGAAGTGAACCCTAATATATTTCAGTGCATTGTACTGAGTGTGCTTTAATAGCTTTCTTCTGCTTTTGGAATAAATTGAACTGTATTTCCTATTTTAAGACGTTTCAAATAAAATAAAACCGTCAGACGGGAATTACTGGAAATGGGGGCATCTATCACGTGCCGGTCTCTGGTCTGAGCACTTTCATCTTCTGCGCTTTCTGCCAGCAGCACCCGGGGCTCTTGTTAATCAGCTTCCTCCTCAACTTGCTTCCTCCTCAGGGGCATGTTCAGAGAAGCTGTTTTCTCATCCTGAGGCCTGCTGCTCTCTGTTCCCTGGTCTCAGTATCGGAGACCCTCCATTTGGGCCCCCCCGAACGATGGCTGAGGCTCTCTCCTGGGTGGGGTGTCAAAGGGCCCAAACACGAAATGACCAGGCAATGCAGCTGAGGTTTCCAGCACAGCTCTCCGTGGAGGGCCTGAAGGGGCCCCTGCTTAGGGGACCACACAGTAAAGCAGATGTTGGGCTCAGAAGAAAAGGCCCAGAGGCCCCTACTCCTGGCCAGGGAGGCTACTGTCGGCTCAGCTGACCCCTTCCGTGGATTGACTGGGGTCAGCCGCCAGGAACACATTCAGCACCAAAATACCAGACAACCAGTTTGAAGGGGGTAGTGGTGGAGGATGGGGATGCTGTAGGATAAGAAGAGGTCTCAGGAGACCCAGCTCCCCCAAACCACCGAAGCGGAGTTACCTCTTGCTTCTGAGCTGCATGCTCTCCCTGAAGTTCCTTCATTTTTCTCTTCCATTCTGCTTTCTGAAAAAGATAAATGTTGTCAAATGGGCCTCTGGATACCAGAATATGTTATAAAGCTACAGGAATTAAAAAGTACTGGCTCATGATTAGGCAGAGTAGTGAAAAGAATAAAGAGCCCAGACAGGGGCGCCTGGGTGGCTCAGTTGGTTAAGCGACTGCCTTCGGCTCAGGTCATGATCCTGGAGTCCCTGGATCGAGTCCCGCATCGGGCTCCCTGCTCAGCAAGGAGTCCGCTTCTCCCTCTGCCCCTCCCCCTGCTTGTGCTCTCTCTCGCTTGCTCTGTCTCTCTCAAATAAATAAATAAATAAAATCTTTAAAAAAAAAAAAAAAGAGCCCAGACAAAGATGGGGGTGGGAAATGGAATCTTAATCTGGGGGAAATAGATTATTGACAACTGGAGTTCAAACAGGTGGTTAATGCCTAGAAAAAAAATATATATGAACTTGAATCTTCATTTCATATCTTAAACCAAAATAAGTTTTAGGTGGGTCAAAGATGTAAACTTAAAAAATGGAAGTGACATCAGTAAGATGGTACCATTGGAGATTCCAGCTCTCAAACCACCCACAGATGAGGATTCCTTTATGGGAACCCAGGAATCCCCAGCTGAGAGTTTCTAGCACCTCAAAGGCACAAAAAAACAAACAAACAACAATAACAACAACAACAACAAAACGAGAATAGATGCATTCCAGAGAAGTTTCACTTTACCCGCATCAGCTCTCTCCAAGGTGGCACAGCTCAGTGCCAAGAGAGACGCCCCTCAGCCCACAGTTTTTCCCACGGAGGAAAGTGAGAGCGAGTGAGCACCCTCTGCCCTGGCCTTACAGGATGCTGCCCAGGAGGCCCACTTCTGTCCCACCCCTCTCAGAACTGAGGGACAGGGCAGAGCAAATCAGCCTGTGTTGGTGGCACAGGGATCTCAGCAACCAGCCACAGCTCCAACTGGCTGGTTTGTGAACACCAGGAGGTGTAAGATGAGAAGTATTTATATGCAACCAATATTAAGTTGTTATCAGCTTAAAATAGACTGCTATAATATAAGATGATTTATGTAAGTCTCACACTAACCACAGAAAAACCTATAGTGGATATGCAAAAGATGAAGGAATCAAAGCATGACCACTACAAAATAAAATCATCAAACCAAAAAGGAAGGCAGCAAGAGAGGAGGAAAGGAACAAAGTAACTACAAAACGGTCTGAAAATAATTAACAAAACGGCAATAAGTAAGTCCTTACTCACCATTAATTACTTTAAATTTAAATGGATTAAGTTCTCCAATCAAAAGACATAGAGTGCTGAACGGGTTAGAAAAACAAGATCCAGCTACATGGTGCCTACAGGAGACTCACTTTAAGGCCATACATACGCTGAAACTGAAGGGATGGAAAAAGATATTTCATGCAAACTGTAACCAGGAGAACAGGGGTAGCTATACTTCCATCAGGCCACAAAGGCTTTAAGTAAAAAACTGTTACAAGAGACAAAAAAGGTCACTATATAATGATAAAGGGGTCAATTCATCAATATAACAATTGTAAATATATAAGCATCCAAAATCAGAGCACCTAAATATAGAAAGCAAATATTAATACAACTGAAGGGAGAAACAGCAATACAGTAAGAGCATGGGGCTTCAATGGCCCACTTTCAACAACGGATAGATCATCCAGACAGAAAACCAAAAGGGAACACTAGACTTGAAATCACTATAGACCAAATGGATCAGACAGATGTACACAGAATATTCCATCCAAAAGGAGAACCACCTATGGAATGGGAGAAAATATTTTGCAAACCACATATCTGACAGGGGGTTCATATACCAAAATATAAGGAACTTCTACACCTCGATAGCAAAAAAAAAAAAAAAAAAAAATTAATGGACAAAGGATCCAAACAGACATTTCCCCAAAGAAGGCCTACAACATCATTAATCAGCACAGAAATATAAATCAAACCACAATGAGATATCACCTCATACCTGTCAAGACAGTTATTATTAAAAAAAAAATATATATATATATATAACAAGTGTTGGTGAGGATGTGAAGAAAAGGAGATCCTCATACACTGCTGGTGGGAATGTAAATTGGTGTAGTTATTATGAAAAACAGAGTGGAAATGCCTCAAAAAATTAAAAACAGACTTACTCATTTCCCCCAGATATCTCCCATGTATACATAAGATATATTTGTTAATAAACTTGTTTTTCTGTTGTTAAAAAAAATTAAGGGGCACCTGGGTGGCTCAGTCAGTTAAGCATCTGACTCTTGATTTCAGCTCAGGTCATGATCTCAGGGTCATGGAATGAGCCCCACATGGGGCTCTATGCTCAGCACAGAGTCTGCTTGTCCCTCTCCCCCTGCCCCTTCCCTCTCTTGCCCATGCCCTCTCTCTCTCCAATAAATAAATAAATAAATATGTAAAATCTTTTTTAAAAATTAAAAACAGAACTACCATATAATCCAACAACCCCACTTCTTGATATTGATCAAAAAAAAAAACTGAAATCAGGATCTCAAAGAGATACTCACCCTCCCATGTTCATTGGCAGCATTATTCACAATAGCCAAAATAGAGAAACCTAGTAATCCATTGAGTGATGAGTGGATAAAGCAAACATGGTACATACATACACTGGAATACTATTCAGCCTTAAAAAGAAAGGAAACCCTGCCCCAACATGAATGAGCCTAGAGGACATAATGCTAGGTGAAATAAGCCAGACAAGAAAGACAAACACGGTATGATCTCACTTACGTGTGGGATCTAAAATAGCCAAACTCATAGAAACAGAGAGAGAATGGTGGTTGCCAGGGGTTAAGATGGGGAGGTTATACTCAAAGGGTACAAGGTTTGTTATGCACGATATATTGTATACTTAAAATTTGCTAAGAAGGTAGATCTTATGTTGTGTTATCACCACACACACACAAAGAAAATAATAATAATAATAATAATAATAATAATAAAGAGGGTGGGAGGAAACTTTGGGAGGTGATGGATATGACTGTGGCCTAATGGTTTCAAGGGTAAGTACTTATCCCCAAACTCCCTGAATCGCGTACATCAAATACGTACAACTTTTTACACAACAATCATACCTCAATAAAGAGGTATGTATGAATGAAGGAATAAATAAATAAGGCCATAAAGGCACTAAAAGGGAACACAAAAACATTTCTTTTTAAACCTCAGAGTGGCCATAAACAAAAGATTGATAATTTGATCATTTTGACCACATAAACATTATTAATTTCGTATGGCCTAAACCACGATGAACAAAATTGAAGGAACAATGGTGTGGGGAAAATAACCACAAGAACAGGGGCGCCTGGGTGTCTCAGTCAGTTAAGCGTCTGCCTTCCGCTCAGGGCCCTGGGATTGAGCCCCGCATCGGGCTCCCTGCTCAGCGGGGAGCCTGCTTCTTCCTCTGCCCTTCCCCCCTGCTCATGCTCTCTCTCTCTGACAAATAAAGAAATAAAATCTTTTAAAAAAAATAAAATAAATAACCACAAGAACAAGAAAGAGTTGGGTTAAGTTCCATGTGTCATAGAAACTCTCAAATTGGTAAGGAAATCCATAGAAAATGAGGCAAAGGATGAGAACAGAGGTCATAGAAAAAAAATTAGCTTTTCTTAATGTGAAACTTGTAAAACATCAAGCAGTGGAAACACTTTACTGCTGTCAGATGTTAAGCTCTCTCTTAATAATCTTACAGAGCAGAAACAGAAGCACAGCCTGATTGAGTGACCAGGCCCTTCCTTGTCATGGAGTGATCAGTGATGCAGACCATATGTAGCTGGACGGTTGTAAGATTCGTCCAGTGCTGGCCAGAGCCACCGCGTGCCGGCTCAGGAGAGGGACTGGGCTCCAGCCTCTCTGACTCCATATCCAGGGGCCTCACAGTGGCAGCATGAAATCGGCCAGGGTGGGAAATGTTACACTACGGAAAACAGCAACTGCTACAGATTAAAGCTTTGTTAGGCCCAGAGAGTGGTTGTTAGATATTTACCATCACCCACGAGACCCACCCCAAATGCCTTCAAAACAGGAGACTATCACACTTGCTGAGAGTTTCAACTGGGTTGGAATCAAAATGAGGGTAAAGGTACCCAGTAAGGGACATAACTGTATGTGTTTTGGAAAGATCCCAGGCAAACCTGATATTGCACCCACGTGTATCACCAGCCTCACCTGAGAACCCTAAGAATCCGATCCCATGCTTTCGTGCATTGGCAGAAGGTCTGCAAAGATAAAACCTGATGTCTTCCAACTTCCGTAAAACCATAGAGCAAAACTGAGAAATTTTATTGAAAGCAACATGGCTAGCTGTGGGGAAATGGGCAAGAGCCATCAGCTCACCTGAATGTCCATCTTCTCCCTCAGGGCCCGGAGCTCCTGAGTCTGCCTGAGTCGCTCCTCAGACTCCTCATCCCGCAGTGACCCGAGATTGGACTCCATCACCCTGTGGGACTGCAGCGCCTGCAGTTTCTGAAAAGCCAGGACACGGTCTTACTCAGATGAAGATCTAATCTTGATGTTGTCTTTTATACCTTGAGCAACGTCAGAAGGGTGCACCTTACCCCACCAAACTCCCGCTTGTCCTCAGCAGACATCTACGTGCCTGCGCATACTCACACAAGTCTGCATTCCCCTCCACGAGGGTTCCCCTGAGAGCTCAGTGCTTACTCGGGAGAAGCAGGTGCCCCGTGGACGAACAGAACTCGAGAGCAGAATTTCAACTGCACTGAAATCCGGCTGTACCCCAAACCCAGAGCTCGTCAGACATTTCTGCCCCCATTTCCTCCTCAGTCTCGAATAGGCTGAAGAAAATCAGACTCTTAGGGGCTTTGGGAGGGTCTCATGCACTCTGGACCATTCCCTGAGGACTCCTGTCCCTCCTCCCACCAAAAAATGCTGGCTGTCACCAAGACGGCCTGGCTTGGCCTGGCTTGGAGTTGTGTCGCCAATACCTAGTGATTCCTGAGCTAGCAGTGTGTCATCTGAAGGAAAGGGCACAGAAAAGGGGATCCAAGACGAGGGGCCTTGCCACCTATGGTTATATTTTTAAACATATCACTGCTGCAGTCACAAAAGTAAATTATCTCCATCTCTATCACTACACAAAACCCATAAGCCCCCTATTAAAGCTTTAAAGAACTGCAAGTCCCTGAGTTTAACTTGTTATCTTTCTTGCTCAGCTTTAACTCTTCTCATCTGCTAAAGCAGTATTGGGTATAAATGTTAACCATTTCTAATTGAGTATTTTCATAGAGTCAAATGCTTTTTTAAGTGGATGCACAACCCTCGGCTTCTGATGTGTCATTTCTGTCCTCACACCGATGCTCAGACAACCAGAGAGCAGGCTCTCTCGGCATTACAAACCTTCATGGTAATTTCCATTCAACTAGGGACTCCTTTGGCAGCTGGATTTACCCTACATCTTACCTAAGGTTCTTTCTGCAGCTAGGTAACTTAGCCAGAGTAAGCTCACAGGCTTTTGTATCAAAGGGAAAATTTTGAGGAGAAACATCTTCGAGAAGTATTTCCCTCTCACTGGCCCTCCTAACAGCAAGGGGAATCTTGTCTTACGTAATGAGACGGACGGGCTTAGTGTTATTCACACTCATTGTAAATGAAATCTTATCTTTTTCTCCCCCAAATTAGAAAAAAAACTAACAAAATAATTATCCAAATACACTGAGAAGTGTGTATCCAGTTTGGTTCCTATAATAAAAGTAAAATCATAAAATGTCACTTGAGAGGAGATGGGGGAGACATACAGACATAAAAACACAGCACAAGCAATCCTATAAAGGAAAGACCAGAAAAGTGATGTTCCAGTGTAGGAAAATGTGATCCAAGTTAAAAAGAAACCATGGATGGTAAGAATTATGTCCTCATTCACCAAAACTTAGAATTTCTGAACCAAAGTAAGCCTCCAACCTTTGCTGAGGTGGTTTCTAAACAATAAATCCAAATTCAAATCAATACCTATCAAATATCTAGTCAGCTAGCACCATGTCAGGGAGGAATGGGAGTCAGCAGGGGTGCAGGCTTGCTCAGGAATGAGGAGCATGGAGCTGGTAAGAGCATGAGCTCCGTGTGGTGGAGCAGCATCTTGTCTCCCACATATCGTCCCTGACCACACTGCAGGAACATTTAGGATGGGAGGGCTTGGGCCACTATAGATAACCCCACACACACACACACACACACACACACGGCTCTCATCTCAACCCCACAGCCTTCCCTATCCCCTGCTTCCCATCTCAGATTGAGATGATGGATCACCCAAGACTCCACTCATATCCCATGACAATCTCCTTCTGGAAAAGTTCTCCAGGTGTTTCTTTAGCAAAACGTAGAATGATTGTGAGAAATGCTACCAGGCAGTTCATTTTCAAAAACAAGAGAAGATTCTCCTTGATGTTAGAAGGATCAACAAGAGCTACATATATTCTGAAAATATTTCTCCTCCAAAACATTTTCCCTGGTATGGTTTTAGTCATATAGGTTTATATGGGAAGATGCAGTCCAGGGATAATAACCTTTAATAGGTTTTCCTGAATAAACTTGACCGTATACCCAGTAGAAAAGCAGAGGCTTTGAAGTTTAAAAAGTTAAGTTCAAATCCCTGGTCTACCTCTTAGTAGCTGTGTGACATTGAGCATGTTTTGGGGCCTCAGTGTCTTCCCCTGTAAAGGAGGAATGATAATAGTTTTCTTTTAAAGAACTTTAAAAAAGAATAAGTAAACAAACAATGTACCTACTTTGAGAATGTTATGGTTGTTCTATTGTTGTAAGGATTGAAAGTTATTGTAAATAAGGTGCCCCGCACAGGGGCTGGAAACCAGTAAACAGAGTCAGTAAATCTTACTATTCCGTGTGATTTCCACAGACCCCAGCAGAGCGCCTGGCAGGTAGGCAGCACTCAGCACATACTTGAGAAGTGCATTCATTTAAATATTGCCTCATATCTTGTCCAGTGATGAAAGAAAGCCCTTTGCAAAAATAAAGATAATGTCTAGGGAGTTGTTACTATATACCAGACAATATTAAGTGCTGTCTGTGTGCTAATTTAACCCTTCCAGCAACCTATCTAACAGAAAAGAAACTGAGGCACAGGAAGGTTAAGTAACTCGCCTAAGGTCACACAGCCAATATGTGATAGAGCAGGGATTCGATCCCTGACACTGGCCTCTGGTATCTGGCCTCACAGTATATTAGCCCCCAATGGCAGATGAAATAAAACTAGCACAAACTAAGAAATAAATATTGAGAATAAACAGTTCTTCAGCAAAAGAACTTTGAACCCCTTTTGTGTTGGGTACCTCTTCTAGCATAGAGTTGTGGTTGGCAACACTTTTAAATTCATCCCAAAATAATTTTTTTAGCTTGTCTATTTCCTCATATAGCTTGGCCCGCTCTTTTTCTTTCCATTCATCAAATTCTTTCTTAGCTTCTATTTCCTTCTGACGGGTGATCTCTGCTTCCTGGAAAGAAAAGCAAGAACAATAGAATCATTAATTCCACATTTTGGCAAATATTGACTGAGAAACTGCTGGGCCCCTTGTCTGGGCAAGTCACTGTGGAGAGCCAAAGCACATTCATCCCACAGTCCCCACTGTTTGGACATGGAGGGGGCCAAGTCTTATCCGAACTGTAAAGTCCCTTGAGGATAGGGACCCCGTCTTTTCTCCCTCTTTGTATTCCTGGCATAGTTGGTGCTCGATAAATGGGTGCTGAGGAAATGAATGAAGAATGACTACATGAAGAAAGGGGTGAGGCAAGTTTACATACTTTCATTCTACAATTATCTACTAAGTACATCCTCGAGACTGCACTTTGGAGTTTATCCAGTCTTTGTTCTCAAAAAGCAAACCAGCAGGGTAGTGTAAGAAGTTAACATTCTGGTTCAAATGCCCTCACAGTGTGCTGAATAATGCAGGAGAGTGCAATTCTCGGCTCTACTTTTGGCCACACAGATCTGGAAAAATAGTTGAATTTTCCTTCCCAGCCAGCCTAAGATCATTTGCCACACCCAGGAAGATGCCACCCTGGCGCTGACTCCCAGCTGCAGGAAACCAGCTAGACATCTGGTCCTGTGGGAGACAGGTGCCTCATGGGTCTCCTGGGTAGTCCACGAGGGGGTCTCCCCAGAGCTTCCTCTCCAGGCCCACCTGCAACTGCCGCTGCCTCTCCGCCTCCCTCTGGGCTTCCAGCTCCCCTTGGGTCCATTTTAGCTTGGCCCGCAGCTCTTCTAACACCTCCTCCACTGGCTGTTCCTGCTGCTTCTGCTTCCCTGTGGGGTCCATGCAAAGACAGGGTGGCCAGTTTCAGTGAAAACGTGAATGAAGTGTAGTTCCTCGCCTATGCAATCAGCCACACCTCAGGCTGACACCAGCTATGCCATTTCCACTGGACACTGACCGCGGGCAAGTGACATAACCTCCCCGACCCTCAGTTTCCCCAAGTTGGAAAATGGAAATAACAGCACCCAACTCAGACTGTTGTCTTGAGGGTGAAATGTGATAGTGCAAAATGCTTAGCATAGTGCCTGGCCTGACTGCTCACTAAGCGTGAACCATTACTGTCATTGAAAATAACCATTTTTGACAGTCCCGACACACACAAATGTAAACGGGAGATGGGTAGGGTAACAGAAGCAGAATACCAAACAGCACGCGCACAGTGATTATTGATACAAAGAACCTATCAGTGGATCCTGACAGCCATCAGAGAGGAGTTTAACATAGTGAAAATAATTGTAGTTTTAAGTTCACTTTGTTCAGAAATACAGGATAGTATTAAGTTTCAAATGAAAAAAAAAAAGCAGCATGTATTATAAAGGAAACTTTCAGCCGAGGTTGTTTTAAGTGTATACTTTCACTTTTCTAAGATTAAAAAGAAAATGAATTATAAGAGAACATTCTAACTAAACCACATACTTATAAACCAAGAGTTACTGGTTAATGAAAAAGACACCAATTGTACTTGAACATTTGTTACTTTTTAAAGTACCTTTAGTGCCTATTAGACAGATAGCACCATTATTAAAACCCGAAGTGAGATATGGTTTTCCTCAGACTGGACTTTTTGGAAACGCTTAAGCAATTTTTAGATGTGGTAGAAATTAATTTGGGTTAACAAAGTGATTTGAGATGATATGAAAAAGGAGAGCAGGGGTATCCGAAAAGCCAGCTGCCTGAGAATAAAAAGATCATGAACATTAATTTAGCAAAAGTTGCCCGAAGAACATATTTTCCTTCTCCTTCAGCACTTAACCTTAAGAAAATAATAAGGAATATGCACAAAGATTTACATACAAGAATGTAGATCATCATGTGATTTATAATAGGGAAATTTATGAGTAACCCATATAAAGTATGAAGTAATTTAATTGTGAAATAAATTATGATAGCCACAGGATGGGATACTATTCAGCCATTAAAAATCATGTTCTCCAAGACGACTGAATGACACTGGAAATGTGATATATTCTTAATTGAAGATAAGCAACAGGCAAAACTGCATAGTATAGGACTATATACGTACACAGAAAAATAATGACAGAGAACACACCAAAATATTAACTAGGTGATATTGTCCATGGTTTTTATTTTCACTTTTCTACCCTTCTGTATTTAAATTTTTCCAGGTCAAGGGACACCTGGGTGGCTCAGTCGGTTAAGCGTCTGCCTTCGGCTCAGGTCATGATCCCAGGGTCCTGGGATTGAGTCCTGCATTGGGCTCCTTGCTCAGCGGGGAGCCTCCTTCCCCGCTCTGCCTGCCACTCCCCCAGCTTGTGCACTCTCTCTCTCTCTCTCTCTCCGGCATATAAATAAATTAAAAAATCTTTAAAAAAAAATCAACAGACTTTTTTAAAAATAAATTAATTAAAAAAATAAATTTTCCAGGTCAAAGGCATTTTTTCCAATTTTTTTATTATGGTAAAATACACATAACATAAAATTTAGCATCTTAACCATTTTTAAATGTACAGTTCAATGGTATTAAATACATTCATAATTCATAATGTTGTACAACCATCACCAGCATCCACTTCCATAACTCTTTTCTTCTTGTAAAACAAAAACTCTGTATGCTTTAAATAACTCTCCATGGACCCTCTCCCCTGGGCCCCAGCAATCATCACTCTACTTTCTGTTTCTATAAATTTGACTACTCTAGGTGCCTCATATAAGTGGAATCATACTGTCCTTTGGAGACTGATTGACTTCACTTACAATAATATCCTCAAGGTTCATTCATGTTGTAACATGTTACAGAATTTCCTTTCTTTTTAAGGCTGAATTATATTCCCTTGCATGTATATACCACATTTTGTTTATGTATTCATCTGTCTGCGGACATTTGGGTGCTTCCACATCTTAGCTACTGTGAATAATGCTGCTATGAACATCAGTATACAAATATCTCTTCAAAGACATGTCTTTTTATCAGAAAAATTCATTTAAGAAGTAGAAAATCTGTTTTTCTTTAGCAGCCTCCAATGCAGAACCAAGAAGAATTAGATACATAATAAATGCATAATAATTAGGTAAATGGTGCTGTTTTAAAACTCTAAGTCTGCTCTTTGAAAAGGAAATTTAAATGAAAAATAAGAAAAAAGTTTTATTTAATGGGATTTTTATATTTATATGATTTACATTTTCATATTTATATTTATTTTACGTGTTAACAGCTATTTCTTATGAACCACAAATATGGATATAAAATATGCAAATCTCTTTATGTGGAAACATACAGCCTTGCTACTAGTTTTGGAATTTGAAATGGTAAAATTAAAGTGATTAAGTCATAATTAGCTCATGTACATACAAAAAGTCAAAGAACTGGTCTAACTGCTCATTAACCCCATTTAAGCCCATTCATAGTTAGCATCAGAGAATAGCAGATTCATAGAAGGCTGGAAGGTAAGGACCCTTCAAAGTCACGCCGTCTGACTGCCCCATTCACAGCAAAGGCCACTGAGACTCAGAGGGGGTGCATTGACTGTGGTCACATAATAGGAAGGGATAAAGCTAACACTGAACTTACCTGTCTGACTCCCTTTTTCTCTACACACATGGTCAGAAACCCTCCCAGCTCCACATGGGATGGATCCGCCTGTGGTGGATGGTGGGATCATCCCCTCCTCTACTGGATGATGAGGTCTGAAGGCAGCTGTGATGGTCTATGTGCCCCACACCCACTGGAAACCAGCCCAGACTCTTCCACGGTCCCAGGAGGGCCACCTGGACTCACCTCCTACTGTCGCACCTACATGCCGGCGCTGGATGTGGCCCCGGAGAAAGGTGGCATTCATGAATGTCTTGTCACACAGGTGGCACTGCACAGAAAGGAAACAGTGGTAAGTGCAGGATTACATCACCTGGCTCAACCTGGGGTTCTCCCAATATCAAAATTCCCATTTCCGTGGGCTCCCGGGGCTGCTTCAGAAATGAAGAATTTGATCTGAACACTGCCAGCGCCCTGGGGAGCTGTGAGCACTACCTAGGTATTTGAGGATACTAAGGAATTTTTGTTGGTTTTTCAAGGCGTGATGATGGTAGCGTTTATATTTAAAAGTGAGAGTCCTTGCCTTTTAGAGATACATACTGAAATAGTTATAGATAACACCATATGTCTAACACATTCAAAGTGATGCAGGCGTGGGGGCAAGCAGGTAGGGGAACATGTCCAAAACCATTGACCATGAGTTGATAACGATTGGGCTGAGTAGTGTACAAATGAAGATTCATTACACTACTCTCTCTTCTGTACATGTTTAAAAATTGTCATGATACAAAGTAAAAAAAAAGCCAATGTCCAGGGCTCGCCCCAGGGTTGAGAACCACCAGAGCAGAGGAGAACAAATAATAATATCTCTAATTCTGCTTCACTCTCCTCAAGCATTCAGACACCACCAACCTATCATATCTTTTCACTGTAAAACCTCAAAACTTTTCCAAGACAACTTTGCAGGCTGTTAATCCTACTCAATCAGACTAAGAGGGCAGATTATTTGCTATCTTTACACAAATGTGACAAAAATTGCCAGTTGTCCCCCCAAAACACATTTTCCCTCTTTCCTCAGTAACCAAAACCCTGTTTTTTAGCTGGTCATGAGATTAATGAGAATAAACACTTTATGATCCAGCCTCGCTTGCCAGGTGTGGCCATGTGACTAAATTCTGGCCAATGACATGTAAGCAGAAGTGACTTACGCAACTTCCAGAAGGTGTCATTAAAGAGTCATGACGAGAGTATAGTAGCCACTCCTTCTTCTGACAACAGAACCCCGGTTTTCTTCTGGGGAATCACTCTGTCCCTTACTTTCCATCCATGGGCTTTGGTCCATCCCCAGCTCCACGGTGGGACATGTGGCCTAGACCAGTCACAACCCTGAATTCCTGGGGACCTGTGAATGGCTCCCAGATGGGTAGGAGACCCAAACACAGCCAAATACAGGACACGATGAAAAACCGGCCGGGTTTCTGGGACCAAAGTAGGCCTTCTATCATGCCAGCCTTGAACCTGGGAAAGTCAGATACTGGCATTGGTAGCCCAACTTGCTACCACACAGACAGAATCTTTCTGAGAATGGAACCCACACTTGAAGAAGAGTTGTCAACAGCTACAGAGACAAACTAAATTCTGGTGCCCATCATCTGATTCCAAGGACAAGCCACACCTGAGTCCCACCAGAGCTCTGGATTTTTCAGTTAAAGTAGCCAATAAATCCCTTATGGGCCTAAGCCAAGTTAAACGGCTGCTCTGGCATTTACAACTGAAAGGGTTCTGACCCTTTTTATTGTAATTAACATTGTATCGATTACCATTAGATCCATTTACATTGTATCATATGATTCCTTCTGTCCCACCTACCACCAAACTATGACTTTCTTGAACACCTGAGCCAGCATGACTTGTGCCTGCCTCCTCAGAGCCTGGCCCACGACAATTCATGAGAGTGCAGTGGTCCCCAGGCCACACTAGCCATGCAGATGCGAATGTCCAAACGCCACTCTGCGTAATGAACTGTCACTTGGTTGAATGATGGAATCACTTTTCGGGAATGGGCCTGGCAGTACCAGTCTCTTGCTACAGACTGATTCTACACACACACAAACACACAGCTCTTACACACGCCTTTTTACATCACACTACTACATGCACACACAAACCCTTCAAACATACACTCACGCCCTCCATAAATACACACACCCTTACACACATATATGTCCTTCATTCACACACACACACACACACCGTAAATATATCTTTAGGTGCACACTTCACACACGAGCACACATTACACACCACACACTCTACATACATACACACACATACCACACACGGATGTATGTTCCAAACATTCACATGGTAGACACACATATCCACGCTGTCCTTAAACATGCACATCCTCCACACATTCACACCTGCACACCCTAGACATGCACCCTCTCCATAAACACACACACACATAGGCACACACAGATGCACACATATCCTTCAGATACACACTTGCCACACACACACACTGGAGAACTTGTTGAGACAGCTCTAACATCTGCCCCTCACCCCAGTAAGCATGGTCCCGGTGGTGGTGCCGCCCAGGCGGCCCGGTGACTGGGCCCACAGCCCTCCCCCTCCCCCACCCTGCAGAGATTCCTCACCGCGTGGTAGCTGTGGGCCCCTGTCTGCAGGAGCAGCTGCTGCAGGGTGCCGATCATCTTGCGACGCCGGCGGCTCTCCTCTCTCACGCCCTTGAGCTCATCAGCCTGGCGACCCAGCTCTTGCTGGCCGCGCTGCTGCTGGCCCAGGCTGGCCTGCAGCCGGGCCTCCAGCTGGGCGACGCTGGCGCTCAAGCAATCCTGGCAGTGCAGCAGGTACTCGATGATGAGCTGGGCCAAGCGCAGCACCTTGAGCAGCACCGGGTCCACGGGCTGCCCACAGCGGTTGCACGCCTCCCGGTCCAAATTGCAGAAGGTGACCCCAGTGATGTTCTCCTGCAGGGCGGCCACGTCCAGCTCCCGCGCCACGCGGTCCACGTCCAGGGCGCTAATGCGCCTCCAGTCCACGCTCTCAGAGCGAGGCTGGAACTTGAAGGTAGGGAGCGGGTAGGCCCCAAAGAGGGAGCCACTGAGGCCTTCAGCAGGGCTAGCCGGGGACTGCATGGGCTGAGGAAGCCCTGGACCGACCATCGAGGGAGGGTGCCACCAAGGCCACGGCAGCAGGCACAGGAGCTGAGAGAGGACCTGGAAAATAAGGAGAGGGTCCAAGTTGGGCAAGACACATCTGGCTGCACGTACAGTACACCTGGCCAGCGGGAGCCTCAGTGGGGTGAGGGGAGGGGGCTGTGCAGCAGCCGTAGGACCCACGGGGTGCACTGACGTGGTGAGAGCTGCAGAAGGCCGGGTGTGGGCTCTACAGTCGCACGGGTGCGGATTCAGATCGCAGCCTCGGGCAAGTTCCTTCACATCCTTCAGCCTTCTGTGCATACTGGGAGATCACAGAGCCTACTTCTCAGGCTTGTGCTTAGGAATGAGGCAAGTGAAGCACCCAGCCTAGTATCTGGCACATAGGAGGTCCTCCTGCTAGGAATGAGGCAAGTGAATCTCCCCTCCTCTGTGCCCCGCGCCCAAGTCCACAGCGAGAGTCCCTGCCAGAGGTCTTTGTCAGAGGGAGGGGTCAAATGTCTAAGTGGGTCCTTCTGCAACCCTATACTGACCTCAGGATAACGTCCAATAACTCGCCATGGGAGGCAGAGCCTCCTAACAACCACCACACCCCATCCTCTCCTCCTGTCATTACAAGATTATAGTGGACCAGGAGTGGGCTACTTTCCCCAGGTGCCCCAGCTGTAAAGTGTGATCACAGGACTATGCTTCCTCTGGTGGGATGTGAGTAAGATGATGGCCCCCGCTGCCAGGGGCTGCTTAATAGAGCGGCCATGTCTCTGCACACAGGCTCTGCTCAGTCCGTGATGGTCTTTTTTTCAAACCTATTGGTTTAGAAAAGAGGTCCAATTTGTTCTCAAAAGACTCAGATTCTCCTCTCCACTCTCTTGGCAGACACAGAAATTGTTCTCTCTCTTTAAAGAGTAATTTGACTGGAATATTATGCAGCCATCAAAAGGAATGAGATCTTGCCATTTGCAACGACGTGGATGGAACTGGAGGGTATTATGTTGAGTGAAATAAGTCAAACAGAGAAAGACATGTATCATATGATCTCACTGATATGAGGAATTCTTAATCGCAGGAAACAAACTGAGTGTTGTTGGAGTGGGGGGTGGGGTGGGAGGGATGGGGGGACTGGGTGATAGACACTGGGGAGGGTATGTGCTCTGGTAAGCGCTGTGAATTGTGCAAGACTGTTGAATCTCAGATCTGTACCTCTGAAACAAATAATGCAATATATGTTAAGAAAAAAAAAAAAAGAAGAAGAAGGTAGCGGGAGGGGAAGAATGAAGCGGGGGAAATCGGAGGGGTAGACGAACCATGAGAGAGGATGGACTCTGAAAAACAAACAGGGTTCTAGAGGGGAGGGGGGTGGGAGGATGGGTTAGCCTGGTGGTGGGTATTGAGGAGGGCACATTCTGCATGGAGCACTGGGTGTTGTGCACAAACAATGAATCATGGAACACTTCATCTAAAACTAATGTTGTAATGTATGGGGATTAACATAAGAATAAAAAAATTTAAAAAAAAATTTAAAAAATTTAAAAAAGAGGATGAGAAAAAAAAATAGGGCATAAAAAAAAAATAAAGAGTAATTTGACAATAGCAATAGGATTTTAAAATGAACACGCCACTACTAAGAATTATAATTTACCCTACAGATAAACTTACACAAGTGTGCAAAGGTGCTGTGCAAAAACTGTCATGTAGTGCTGTTTGTAACAGCAAAGTACAAGAGAAAATACAAGAAAGGGCAGTACAAAGTACAACAGGGGATACAAATAGTATCTCTATACAATGAAATACTATGCAGCTATTGATAAGAATAAGGCAACTATTCATGCACTGATACAGAGTAATGAGTGTGTGTCTATGTATACATATACATAGATACAAATATATACACACATATATATACACATATACACAGGTATTTCCGCATCTGTTTAAATGATAATATAATCACATATAATCATAATTTGCAAAAATAAAGATATGTATATCTCACATATGTATCCATCTATGTCTATCTACATATATCACATAGACATAGGTCTATAGATATATCTCACATTGGAATGGTTGCCTGTGAGGAAGGAGGGGAAATGGGGTGTGAAACGGGGATAAATAAATGAACAGATGGTGCATGGGTAGGAGATGGGTAGATAGACAAGCCTTACACAGATCGATGATGATAATGACACATGCATATAATATATATACATATATACACACATGAATGATTCATATTTGTTGCTCATGTGTAATAATAGTGAAATAAAATACACTGATTTACGATTCCTATATATGATTCATTGTCTATCATTTTGCAGGCATAGACTATGGTATTTCTAGAAAAATAAACAAGCTGTTAGTGATGGTTGCCTCTGGGAGTGGGAATGGAAGTCAGAAGACTTTGATTTTCCACTTTCCCCCTTCCTATACTATCCAAAGTCCTTCACATCATCATCTATTACTTCTATAATTTTTATAGAAAAAATACAACTTCTGTCCTTGGGGAACTTCAAATCTGAATGGGGCGACAAGAAGGACAGGTGACCCTACTTAATCACATTCTTTCCAGATCATGTGATTCAAACTTTTCAGTACAAGAGAAAGTCAGAGGGGAGAGAGGTCACTGACCTCACGAAGGGGATAAGCCTCATAGTTTGCAAAGAGGGGCAGGGCCTCCAGGGAAGGTCCCTGGCCTCCCGGAGCCCTCACCTGAGAAAGACCGCGATCGGCCTGCCCTACCAGCCCGCAGGGTGCCTGAGGCTTGGAGGAGGCGCAAGGCCAAGCACTCAGTAGTAACATTGGCCGCAGTGCCGCGGGCGCCAGCCTCCGTGCCAGACACACACCGACTCCACGTGCAAACCTGCAAGCAGTTACCACTATGCCCGTTTTACAAACAAGAAAACGGATGTCTGGAGGAGTTAAGAGTCTTGTCCCCGATTGGGAGGCCAGAGTTGAAGCACAATTGGAGGTGCACCTGGCTCCAAAACTCGTGGACTCTGAGCACTGATTCTCGAAGCTATTTGTCCTAAAACTTGGCTTTGATCAGGTCATGACCCCTTATCCCTCAAACTCACTCATTCATTCACCCACTGCCCGCCCCCCCCCCACTTACAGCATGCCTACTCGGGCCAGCCCCTGTGCCGGGCATTGGGGCTACCGTGGTATATGAACCCCACACCCGCCCTGCACCCAGGAGCTCAGCGTGGCCCCTTGTGGCTGCCGCTGACCCACCTGTTCCATTGCAGCTCCCATGCTTCCCTTTCTCAGATACTCTTCCCCCAGACAGACACCAAAACCAAAACCAGCCAGCCACCTGCACCCCCATCATGGCCGAGACAAGATCAGCCCATTCCTACTTCGCGTGTCACGTTATTTAAACAGACCAAAAAAAGGAGATGGGAGACAGGATACTTACCATGCTCAGCTCCAAGCTGCAACTGTGTCTCTGGGGCCTCAGAGACAATTGCCACAACAAGCTATGCCTTGGAGCAACAGCAGGTTACCAGGCATGCTGTGGGCAAGGGTAACAGGACACCTGCTTCCTGTCCTCCCCACAGACCGGGAGCTCACCTAGAACTCACTGTTTAACTATTTAAGCTTTGGCCTCAGCTGTGTGCCCACAGTCCTCTCTCTAATAGTAAGGCTAAGAATGCTCCATCGGCTACTCTCTCAGCTTCTCCCACCTTTTTGAAAGTTCCTTCCAGCCTCTTCTGAACAGTTACTATCCTTTTACCCTTCCTTTAACACGGGGGGGTGGGGGAAGGAGGGGGAAGATGGGGCGTGGGCAGTGCCCCCGCGATATTCTGCTGTTCATTCATGACCCATCTCTCCCTGCACACTCTCCCTGAAGACGAGCTCACACACATACCCACAGCTTCAGCGACCAAAGGCCTGATTTAGGCTGAGCCTCAGCCACTCCCAAATCTCTTTCTTGCTGGCCCATCTCTCTCTTGGGACCTTTAGATCCAGCCTTCCAATACTGAGTATACCAGAAATTGCAAATCCAAATTCCCCCAGGGCCAGGAAGGTAATATTAAATGCAGGAAATGTGGCAGGTATAAGAAAAACCACAGTACAAGCTTGATGATAAAGGGCAATTAATCCCCTACCTTAGTGCCCAAGATACAATTAGGCAGCAGTTCTCAAAGTGTGGTCCCTGACCAGCAACGTCAGAGCATCAGCATCAGCAGGAACTTGTCAAAAATGCAAGTCTCCAGATTTATTGATTCAGAACCACTGTGGTAGGGAATGTTGGGGATTGTGGCAAAAGGGGGAGTGCATGCCCCGTTTAGAAGGGGCAGCCACCTTGAGGCACCTGGGGGGCACAGTTGGTTGAGTGACTGACTCTTGGTTTTGGCTCAGGCCATGATCTCATGGGTCCTGGAATGGAGCCCTGGGTCAGCTCCGCGCTCAGCAGGAGCCTGCTTGAGATTCTCTCCCTCTGCCCCTCTCCCCAACTTGTGTGCAGGCACTTGCTCTACCCCTCTCTCTAAAATAAATAAATAAATCTTAAAAAACAAAAACAAAACAGAGGAAGAGGCAGCCACCTCTGGGCTTCATCCATATGGGAATGGATTTTCTGTGTTCCTCACTGGCTAATTCCAAATTCACTAAAAAGATATTCAAACACCTTTATGAACTGTTTTCAAGCTACCTTTCTAGCTGCATCTCCCACTTACAATATTACTTGCTGTCCACACATTCTTATCTCTGGGCTATTTATTTATGTGCACTGTTTTTAAGTGTTTCATAAAGAATAACTCATGTAATCCTCAGAACAATCCCTCAAGGAGGTACTAATATTATCCAAACCTTCCAAAGAAGTAAAGAAGCTTGCCCCAGATGCAGGAGGCAAAATCCAAAACCACGTAGCCTGCTTACAGAGTCTGAGCTCTTAGCCACTAGGCCCTGCTGCCTATCGGTATAGATGGACCTCCACCACCTCCCCCTGCTCCTATTGCAGGTGAATGAGTGCCTGCTTCAAGGCCTTGCTCACACGTGACAGCCACCATAAATCGTTCCCAGGCCCACAGTCAAAATGCCCCACCTCTCCCCTGGGCTCAGGGCAGCACTGAGTGTACGCTCCTCTGAGCGCCTCGCCACACTCCGGTCTGTATCAGCGTGCTTATGCAACGTTCATTTATTCATCCCACCAACAAATGACTCCTGAGCCCCTACCAAGTGCCACGCACCACTCCCGGCACTCAGAATTGATGGTGACCCAGGCAACAGTCCCTGCCATCATTAATAAAACTAGTTACCAGCTCTGCACACGCAATTACAAGGCTTTCCATGCACTATCCCACTTAGTTCTCATTACAACCCAGCGTACAGATGAAGAAACTTGGAGGTGACCCAAGAGGGCAGATGACTTCCCACAATCATACAACTAGTAGTAAATGATGGTGTCTAGCTCCAGACTTCTCCAGAAAGACAGAAAAATAGACAGAAACGACCATGCAGAGTGGTACGTGCCAGGGTGGGAGCTGGGACAGGGTGCAGCGGGTGTACCAAGGAGAGACCACACCAGGACATTCCTGTCTCCGTTCTCCTCCACGTCCCCCAGCTATAAGTTCCGCAAGTGCTGAGACCATGGCTTATTCATTATCTGTTGTATTCTAGCCCCTAGCATATTACTTGCAGCCCAAATTGCTATTGACCTGAGCAGAATTATCAAAATCTTAGACTATCTGCCTCAAAAGTCTATATTCTTGGGGATCTGGAGAAATGAGCCTATGAACCAGCAAGAATTAGAATAAAGAGTAAGAACAGAGTTGGGAGTCCTTAATTTGGACCCACTGGAGAGAAATGCCATTCAGACTTACTAAAATGCTGGATTTGTTACCATGTGTGTCCACAGCCTGATCCCACCGCTGCTAATGAAAGCCTAGAGTGCAGGAGCCCTTGTGGACGGGCTCAGGCTCATCAGCGAGAAGCCCCAGAGCCCACACTGACCATCAAGATATGGCTGCAGCCCTGAAACCCTCACATTTACACTCTGAGCACACTCTGTAAACACTGAGGATGGTGGCCCCATTCCCAGTTATACAGAATTCTGAATTAGGGATCTCAGTTCATGCGGTCTTCCTGAACCCCAGAAGCGTCACTCCTGTCTTCCACTAGAACCCCCAGGTTCTCAGAAGTCTTAGGGCTCTGGAATCCAAAGGTGAGCAGAACTGGGGGAATTTGAAGATTATGATAGCAGCCATCACTGATTAAGTTTTTGTGTGCCAGCCTTTAAAAGTACTATTTCTAGCCATTGTACAACGTTGTATGTAGTTGATTTGCCTCATCTGATAAACGTAGAAACTGAGGCTCAGAGAACCTAAGGGACTGGGCCCTGGTCACTCAGCTCCTAGGTAATGAAGCCAAGATTCAAGTCAGGTTCTGCCTGACTCCAGAGCTTTTGAATTTTGCCCATCTACCTCCCAATGATGATGATGATGACAGAGAAATTACTTCCCACCATGGAAATGACAGTACCTGAGATTTCTTGACCAAACTGCAAGAACTAAAACTTTACAGCAAATCACAACAGGATCAGTGCCGGGGACCTGAAATTCCCTCTATCTCCGCAGAGCTTAGCTGAACAGGACGCAACTCCGCAGCTGGAGTCCAGGTTAGGATGGCAGGAGACAAAGCCCAGGGAGAGTGCGGCAGGTTACCTGGAAACCACACACCCCAAAGGGCAGTCACACTGTGCTTCTCCAGGCATCAGCAGACTGCCTTCCCCACATCTGGAAATAGAAACACAAGGCAGCATTAGGAAATCCAAAGCTGTGTTAACCATCTCTGCATGTTTTGATGGGGTCCCAGGAAGCTTCCCAATCTTAGACCAATGTCATGAATTAGTAGGACCCAAAAGAATGATATTTATGCTAGCATTCTAAATTTGCTTCATTGTTGAAGAGATGGTTTCTACCTGGGGCAATCCCACAGCCAAGAAAGAAAGAGAATAAAGAATTAGAATAAAGAGTAAGAACAGAGTTCTTAATTTGGACCCACTGGAGAGAAATGCCATTCAGACTTACTAAAATGCTGGATTTGTTACCATGTGTGTCCACAGCCTGATCTACCACCCTTGCTTTGCACACCCCCAGTGATGGGGTGTTCACCATCTCACAAGGCAGCCATCCCACAGCGAAACAGCTCCCGGAGAATTTATGGTTCTTCTGAAACCTGCCCACCTATAATCCGTCGAAGATAACTTGCGCAATGATCAACTAAACAACTGATATTTTTAAATTCTGATTTTTTAATATCAGTGGACAGCTAGACTATACCACCACGGCTGCCACCTTACTGTCTCTTTTGCTTCCTCAAGAATGCAACCAAGAGGAGCAGTTAGGGGAGCCAAGCTACCGAGGCAGCTGCCGGGCAATCATGGACAAGCCTGCCCTGGCTTCCCGAGCTACCCTCAGCAGTACCTGCCCTGGGGAGCCCAGGCTTGTCATTAGCGCTAATTGTTGTGGCTGCCAAGGAAACCTTCACACAATTTGCAAACAGGCTATGCACACACCATAGGTAAGGGAGCCCTACACATCCCAAAAGAGAGGAGAGTGACTCGGGCGCTCTCCTGAAACACCATCATTACAGATCTTCGATTTATTCTCTGATTCTGTCGTTTTCTAAAGAAAGGTGTGCCCTTTCCACTCCTTCTTGCCCTTCATGGGGTTTGCACCCATTGCTGGAACCATCAAGTGGCACACAGCTCCCCCTCCAGCTGGCTTCCATTCCCAGTAACTTTAAGGAGGGTTTTTTGTTGTTGGTGGTGGTTTTTTTTGAGTATAGTTAACACACAGTGTTATGTTAGTTTCAGATGTACAACTTAGTGATTTGACAAGTTTATACTTCATGCTATGTTCACCACGAGTGTAGCCACCATCTGTCCCCTTACATCACTGCTACAATATCACTAACTGTATTCCTTATGCTCTGCTTTTTATTCCGGTGACCTACTCCCTCCAGAACTGGAGGCCTGGACCTCCTTCTAAGAAGGTATTTTTAAAAGACAGCACCAACAGGTTGGTCAAAAACCCCTCTTAAGTTTTTGCCACAAAAGAATTTTCTTTAAACTAAAAATCGGGGCTAGGGCTTTGATTGGCATTGCTTAGGAATATTTCAGAGAGGAAGACTACAAATTGACGTGACCTGTCTTCCCAGGTGCAGAACTGTCAAAAATCAGCACTGCTTTTCACATCTGAAAGATATGAGTTTAGAATATACTGCTGTTTTCTTTCCCATGGAAGAGTCATTGCTTTTTGGTAGACTTTCTCTATCTTCAGCCACCAGACCCCCCCCCCAAAATCCTCCCTAGAGGTGCATGGCCTAGCAACAGCTGCCATTGCAGGTAGTTAACCCCCACCCCCACCAGGACTGGCCCTCTCTGAAAAGGGCCCACAAGGAGGTTCAGAACAGCCCACCAAGTCACCCCCTTCCCTGCTCCTGTCAGTGTACATTGAGCCACAAGCCTTTTGACCGAACTCCAGCTTTGTGGCAGAACCCAGTTAAATTCCACAAAGGAATTCAGGTTTCTGTTCCCAACCTGAAGCATATAACTTCATGGGACCATTTTATTAAGTTGGATGATATCCAAAACTATTTGCACATGAGGAAGATGTCTCTAGACCCTTAGTGCTGACAGAGACTGAAAAAAAAACTGCTTATCAACCACTTGACTGGAGGACCGGCCTCTAAGAGGGGTTGTTCTCACTGGCCAGTCCTCAGCTCTGGGAGGCCAGGAGAAGGTGATGAGGGACCTCCCTGACAGAGGCAGTAGCCCACCCACCCTGTCTGCAGATGAAAGTGTGAGAGGCCCCAGTCAGAGCACCTCACACTCTCCAGGCCTCTCTTCAAAGTTCTTTTAAAAATCAAATTTTCAGAGACAACGGGGAGGGGGGGGCAGGAAGGCCCTGGGCCCTAAGGAGTGCTGGGTGAAGGGTAGCCCTGTCCAAGCCCTCCAGACCCCCTTCTAGATCCTTGTTCCGTACAAAGCAAGTCTCCCCTGGACTTTTAACTGCAGCCACCTCGAAAGAAAAATACCATTGCTGCCTCCTCCTAAACTCCAGCCCCAGAGTGCAAGAGGGACAAACCAGAGATGCCAATGTGTTTGTTTTTAAATCATCTCGTTACCAGAAGATCCCCTTTACCTGCAGAACTCAAAACATCAAGCCCTCCAAAACCATATTTACTTTTTTCAAAAAGTAAGCATCCAAGTCTGTCCACCCAGGGAAGCCCAGTCCTGGGGGGTGCAGTCACTCCTGGTTCCTTCGGGGGGCGGGGGGGGGGGGGTTACCTCGGTCCAGAGCAGGCCGAGGGAGCTGGAGATGAGGGGCAGAACCCGGCGGTCTAGCGGCGGTTTAGAGGCCGCCCCGGAGTGCAGCTCCCGCAGGTCCCGAGCTGCACCCCTACAGGGTGTCCGAGCCGCTAATGTTTAACCTCCCGCGTCCCGCCGCACCCACGGCTCGGACTACAAGGGCGCTCCCCACCCGCGGCCCTCCCCGGGCCGAATTCCTGCCATAGTTTTCCCACGCGGCCCCGCTCACCTGGGGGCCGCCGGAGCCCGCGGGGCCGGCAGAGGTCCGGGGGCGCGGGCTCCCCAGCGTGGCCCCGGCCCCGCCTCCCGGCGCGCTACACCGCCCCGACCGCCGGGAGGCCGTTCCCGGAACGCCCGGCGCCACGCGGGCCGCGGATGCACCCCCAGGAGCGGGGAGCCCGGACGCCCTCCCCGGCGGGGACAGAGCCGGCGCGCCCACCCCGGTGCGGCCGAACGGCGCGCCCGCGGGCAACCGAGCCTTCCGCGCCAGCAGCTGGAGGCCCGGGGTCTCGCGCCGCCGGCTCCCGGACGGCCGCCCCACCTCGCCCAGACAGGGGTGGAGACTCTCCCCAGCGCCCCCGGGAAGAGCTATTTTTAAGTCTGTTACGGAGGCGGGAGGGAGGGGAAGGCCACGTTTAATCCGTCGGGAAAATCCGGGATCCAAGAGAGTGGCTCCCAGGCCTTGCCGAGAGGTCAGCCGCATGGAGCCCGGGGAGCTGGACGCGCTCCCATCTACACACACGCGCGCGCGCGCACACACACACACACACACACACGCTAACAACAAAGGCTGGCCTCCTGGAAAGCTGGAGCAGTTGCAGAGCTGGTGCTTAAGGCAAGCAACCCCACAACCCCCAACCTGCTAGCTTGCCCTGTGGATCCAGCTCTGAAACCCAGGACCAAAGAACTCTTTCTCTCTGATACTGGTCCCTGAGCCCTAGCCAGATTTACGGAGACCCAGATTTCTGGGATTTTTTTTTTTTAAAGGCCTTCCTCCCACTCCAGTCTCAATCTGCCACACTCTGTGTCTTGGGGCGGCCAAAGCTGAAGTGTGTGGGAACAAGTGTTGGAAGGATGTGGAGAAATTGGACTCTTTGTGCATTGCAGGTGGGAATATAAAGTGGTACAGCTGCTGTGAAAAAGAGAATGGTGATTCCTCAAAAAACTAACAATAAAATTACCATACGATCCAGCAATTCCATTTCTAGGTATATACTCAAAAGAACGAAAACAGGGACCAAAACCGATATTTGTACATGCATGCTCATAAAAGCACTATTCACGATAGTCAAAAAGTGTAAACAACCCAACTGTCCAGCAGTATATTAATGGATAAACACAATGTGCTACATACATACAATGAACTATTATTCGGTCTTAAAACATAATGAAATACTGGAGCACCTGGATGGCTCAGTCGGTTAAGTGGCTGCCTTTGGCTCAGGTCTTGATCTCAGGGTCCTGGGATGGAGACCTCCCTGGGGCTTCCTGCTCAGCAGGAAGTCAGCTTCTCCCTCTGCCTCTGCTCCTCCCCCTTCATGCGCTCGTGGGCGTTCTCTCTCTCTCTCTTTCAAATAAATAAAAATTTTTAAAAATAATGAAATACTGATACATGCCACAATATGAATGAATCTTGGAAATATTATGCTAGGTGAAATAAGCCAGATACAAAAGGAGAAATGTTGTGATTCCACTTATTCAAGGTAACTGGAATAGTTAAATTCATAGAGATATTCCAGAAAGGGGAATAGTGGTTACCAGGGGCTGGGGCAGGGTGAGGGGACTGTAGGGAATAGGAAGTTATTGTTTAATGGGTACAGAGTTTCAGCCTGGGACAATGGCAAAGTTCTAGAGAAGAAGAGTGGTGTTGGCTGTGCAACAATGTGAATGTACTTAATGCCACTGAATTGTACATTTGAAAATAGTTAAAATGGTAAATGTTATGAGATTATAGATAGATAGATAGATAGATAGATAGATAGATATAGATATATATATAACCCCTATTTTTTAAATGGAAAAAAAAAAAAAAGACCTCGGGGGCCAGGACCAAGATCAAGTAGGGATGTCTGTAAGCCATCTACTCTGATGGGGAATCTTATTCCTCCTCTCCTGGCCAGGGCACTCTTTTCACTCCAGGAGTTCCTGCCGCCTATCAGAGGGGAGCAAAGAGTCAAGGCTTTAGAGTCAAAGATGCCTTAACATCCTGGAAGAGAGCACAGGCAACAATCTCTCTGACATCAGCTGTAGTAACATTTTTCTAGATAGGTCTCCTGTGGCAAGGGAAACAAAAGCAAAAATAAACTATTGGGATTACATCAAAACAAAAAGCTTCTTCACAGTGAAGGAAACAATCAATAAAACTAAAAGGCAACCTACTGAGTTGGAGAAGATAGTTGCCTGTGACATAGTCAATAAAGGGTTAGTATCCAAAATATATAAAGAACTGATACAACTCAACATCCTAAAAACAAATAATCTAATCAAAAACTAGGCAGAAGACATGAACAGACATTTCTCCAAAGAAGACATCCAGATGACTAATAGACACATGAAAAGATGTTCAACATCATTCATCATCAGGGAGATGCAAATCAAAACCACAATGAGATAGCACCTCACACCTTTCAGAATGGCTAAAGTCAACAACACAAGAAACAACAATTGTTGAGGATGTGGAGAGAAAGGAACCCTCTGGCACTCTTGGTGGGAATGCAAACTGGTGCAACCACAGTGGATAATAGTAGGCAGCTTCCTCAAAGTGTTAAAAATAGAACTACCCTATGATTACACTACTGGTATTTACTTAAAAAATACAAAAACACTAATTCAAAGGGACACATACACATCTCTATGTTTATTGCAGCATTATTTACAATAGCCAAATTATAGAAGCAGCCCAAGTGTCCATCGATAGATGAATGGATAAAGAGGTGGTATACACTTACAATGGAATATTATTCAGCCATAAAAAAGAATGAAGTCTTGGGTTTTGAACGAGACGAAGACGGAACCGAAGCCGGGCACAGGCCATGGACGCGGTCCCACCGAGAGCCGAAGATGGTGGTGAACACATATTCAACGTCAGTCACCAGTGATAACCTAAGTCGACATGACATGCTGGCCTGGATCAATGAGTCTCTGCAGCTGAATCTGACGAAGATCAAACAGTTGTGCTCAGGGGCTGCCTACTGTCAGTTTATGGACATGCTGTTCCCTGGCTCCATTGCCTTGAAGAAAGTGAAATTCCAGGCTAAGCTAGAACATGAATACATCCAGAACTTCAAAATACTACAAGCAGGTTTTAAAAGAATGGGTGTTGACAAAATAATTCTGTGGACAAATTAGTAAAAGGAAAGTTTCAGGACAGTTTTGAATGTGTTCAGTGCATCAAGAAGTTTTTTGATGCAAACTATGATGGAAAAGACTATGACCCCGTAGCTGCCAGACAAGGTCAAGAAATGGCAGTGGCTCCCTCCCTTGTTGCTCCAGCTCTGAACAAACAGAAGAAACCTCTCAGCTCTAGCAGCGCAGCTCCACAGAGGTCCATTGCAACACACAGGACTACTGCAACCAAGGCTGGCCCGGGTGTAGTGCGAAAGAATCCTGGTGTGGGCAACAGGGATGACGAAGCAGCTGAATTGATGCAACAGGTCAACGTATTGAAACTTACCATCGAAGACTTGGAGAAAGAGATTTCTACTTTGGAAAGCTAAGGAACATTGAATTGATTTGCCAGGAGAACAAGGGGGAAAACAACCTGGTATTGCAGAGGATCGTGGACATTCTGTATGCCACAGATGAAGGCTTTGTGATACCTGATGAAGGGGGCCCACAGGAGGAGCAAGAAAAGTATTAACGGCCTGGACCAGCAGAGCAACATCCGAATTCTTCACTCCAAATCATGTGCTTAACTGTAAATACCCGCTTTTGTTATTCTTAGAGGACTCACTGGTTTCTTTTCATGAGCAAACAGTACCTCTTCTTAAAGTGCACTTTGCAGAAGTTTCACCCCTTTTCCAATGAGTTTGAGTTAGGAGCTTTTACCCTGTAGCAGAGCAGTATTAACATCTAGTTGGGTCACCTAGGGAACAAAGAGGCTGACCATGGGGCTCACCATGTAGACGCTGGTAACACTGATTGCTGGAGAAGGTGTTTTTATGTGATACACTGAAGTGGAAACCTCAGTAGAGAAATGTAAAGACTGATTTGAATTTTCAGCTAATGTGAAATCTTGGCAGAGAACGTTTTAATAAATAAATGCCTTAAGAGTAAAAAAAAAAAAAAAAAAAATGAAGTCTTGCCATTTGCAACAACATGGATGGTGCTAGAAAGTACAAAGCCAAGAGAAATAAGTCATTCAGAGAAAGACAAATACCATATGATTTCACTCATATGTGAAATTTAAGAAACAAAACAAAGGGGGCGCCTGGATGGCTCAGTTGGTTAAGCGACTGCCTTCGGCTCAGGTCATGATCCTGGAGTCTCAGCATCGAGTCTCAGCATCGAGTCCCGCATCGAGTCCCGCATCGGGCTCCCTGCTCGGCAGGGAGTCTGCTTCTCCCTCTGGCCCTCCCCCGTCTCATGCTCTCTCTCTATCGCATTCTCTCTCTCAAATAAATAAATAAAATCTTTTAAAAAAAATTTTTTTTAATAATAAAAAAAAAGAAACAAAACAAAGGAGCAAAGGAAAAAGAGAGAGAAAGAATCAAACCAAAAAACAGACTCTTAACTATAGAGAACAAACTGATGGTTACCAGAGGGGAGGTGGGTGGGGGACAGGTGAAATAGGTGAAGGGGATAAGGAGTGCATTTGTGATGAGCACGGAGTCATGTACAGAATTGTTGAATCGCTACATTGTACACCTGAAACTAATATAACACTGAATGTTAACTCTACTGGAATTAAAATTTTAAAAAATATACGTTTTATATTTCCACATTCCCAAACTATGTAACCCTGGAAAAAATCACTTAACCCTTCTATAAAATGGGAAAAATAAACTCTATCTAGCAGGGTCATTATGAGAACCAACTTAGCTGAAGTATTTCCAGGGGCCTGGCAGTCAGTGATGCGTCCTCTCAAGTTCAGTCAAATGTGAAATCTGTGGGGGCTTGGGGCATTTGCTTCTCAGCTCTCTCCCCACTGTATCCCCAAAGTGTGCAGGAAGTAGCTCTGACGGGCCCTGTGTGTGTTTGTATGTGTCATTTGCAGCAGCCTCAATTTCCCTACCTGTAAATGGGGTGCCCTCCTTTACAGGGTTGTTGTGAGAAAGTGAACTTGGCGTACAGCTTCATCTACCTGGTCAGTAATTCCAAATGTTCAGTAATTCCATGTTCAGCTGACCAAGGCTTCCCACGCACGGAACCCTCCACATCCTTCACTCACTGGGCCACACTTCAACATTCAGTACAGCCAAGAGTTATCGAGGGCCTACTGTGTGCAGGCTCTGTTCTAGATTCCAAAGGGTACCACGGGTTTATAATGGACTAGGTCACCTAGCACTGGGGAGCCGTCCCACTCTCCTGTACCACCTCTGCCACAGCACACAAAAGGGTTGGCAGCACCGCTGGGGACAGGGAGATAGTCCGTGATGCAGGAACATGCCGAAGGAGACTGACCCTAAATGGCTAGTCCAGGGAACATCACTGTCACCATGAGCAGCTGGGCCATAACTATTGGATGGGAGGAGAAAAGGGTGGGTTCTCAATACCTATGGTTTTCATCTGGCCCCGTA